TTTTTAGCAGTTGCGTCACTAAATTATGTCTCAATTGTATATGTCTATATTTTTTATACATTATAGTTCTTATATTTTTAGCTATAGCTATTGCAGATTGGAAATCACAGTAAATTGATACAAACGGGATCAGTTTTATTCCTAATGAAATGTTTGCTAAGAAGTTTTTCAACCACTCAGTTTCATTACCAGCCATTTTGAGAGCAACAAATTCAGATTTCATTATTGATCTTGCAATAATTGTTTGTCTGGCTGATTTTCATATAATCGCACCACCCCCAAATGTGAATACATAACCACTAGTGAATTTTGTCTCATCTGAATCAGAGATCCAATTAGCATCACTATACATTTCTAGTAGAGCAGGAAATCTACTATATTCAATGGCATAATCCATTGAACCTCTTAAGTATCTCATAAGTCTTGCAAGTGCGTTCCAATGTTCTTGATTAATGGCACATGTAACATAGAGTCTTTCCAGATGTGAGTTTTAGAAGAACTTTTGTTTTTCCTAAAACAGGAGTTATACTGGAATCCCCGAGATAAACATATTCTTTTCCATCCCCACACTAGTGTAAGAGGTAAAAGCACTTGTGTTTGCACAGATGTGCCTGATAGCACCAGAGTCTACCATCTATTTGCTCACATTTCTTGGGAAACGACCACAACAATGGTATTTTCTACTTTGACTAAAACTAAAATTTTCCCTTAGGAGGATTATCGTTTCTTATTCTATGTCTGCACTGAGATGCATGATGACTTGGTTTTCCACAAACAAAGTAATTCCCTTCTTATTGAAGGTAAGGTGGGGTTAGATCCATTGGTTTCAAACAGTCTGAAACCTTTTCTTATACGTATGTACAAAATAATATATAGACAAAATAATATCCTACACGTATGTACAAAATAATATGTAGATCTAAGTCATGCATATGTAACTGCTAATTGTTCACTACCAAAAATCTCTTACAACATATAATACTCATGCATAATTCATTTTCCTGTTGCATTGGTGTAATAAATCCGAAAAAAGGAACTTGTGTTTGACACGTGTGCTTTGTGCGCACCCTGCATGATGCATGTTGATAGCACTTAATCTAACAGTTTACCTTTCTTCCATCATAATTATAACATGGAGTGAAATCAATTTCATACATTATTCACCTTTAACCCAATCACGTAATTTTCCTTTTCAATTAAAATCAATTACGAGATTATTCACATTTCAATTAGAATTACACGATCATTCACACACAGGGGCTATGAATTTGGTTTCAATTTGAAATTGATTGCAATTGAAAACATAAATTAGGATTTATTCCTTTAGTCAATTTTAAAAAACAAATTTAGAAATTAATTAGGGTTCATTCTAATCGGATAGAGAAATCCTTAAATTCATAATTAGGGTTTATCTTAATTTGGGAAAACTATCATAAGAGAAAAATCATAAATCTAATAATTATGACTTTGATACCACATGTAAGTTAATTTGCAGTTTTCCTAAGTTCCTAATTTACAGTTTCTCACAAAATAAGATATTCTCTTATGATAAGATACATGAATCATAATAAGAAAACTAACCTTGATTCATGAGAATTTGTTCTTTAATATCTTTGTTTTCCAACCTCCTTTACCCAAGGGTACAGAGTTATTATTGATATTCGTATTGTCAGCTTAAGTCATTGTTGTAAAAGCTAACAGAGACACGAATAAACTTTATTCGTGAGACGTGTATAATCACTGCCCTTAAGGACTTATCCGTGGTGTATTGCACAAGTCCCCCAGGATACAACAGGAACTTCTCAGAATTTCCGAGGATCTCGAAAACTAGCAAGAAACTCTTAAAAGAGTAAATAAACCCAGGATAATAGCAGAACAAGAAGAAAATAGATAAGATGAGAGATGTGTTTTTTTAAGAATGTGAAATGATCTCTATTTATAGGAGTATATTGGACCTAAAACCCTAACTACCTACGTTCTCTGTAACGTTTTTTGTAATGTTCTTTGTAACACTCTCTGGAACGTTCTAAGTTTTGCAATACCCCTTATTTTACAACATTACCTATACCCATAATTGAGTCCAGTCCATTGTTCCTAGTGCGTCTGACAATTCAAATCCTAGTCCCACTAATCCTAAACCATCATCTCCTCTCACACCTTGCCCCATACTCTAAGATCATTCCTCTTTTTCAAGTTCTTCTCAATCAGCAATCCATACCATGCCTCCTAATGCTGATGATTCAGCCTAGTCCATTGCTATCAGAAAATGTACTAGTTCTACATGCAACCCTCATCCTATTTATAATTTTCTGAGTTATCATAGGGTGTCTCCTTCCTATTGTTCTTTTTTATCTTCAGTATCTTCTATCTTTATTCCAAAAATTGTGACTGAAGCTCTCAATCATCCTGGATGACAACAAGTTGTGATTGTCGAGATGTAAGATTTTGACCAGAATTACACATGGGAGTTAGTGTCTCTTCCACTTGGGAAGAAGATAATTGGATGTCGATGGGTTTATGCCATTAAAGTTGGCCCCAACGGTGACATTGATCATCTCAAGGCACGATTAGTTACAAAAGGGTATATATAGATTTATGGTCTTGACTACAGTGATACTTTTTCACCAGTTGCCAAAATGACTACTATCCATCTTTTCTTTGCCATGACCACTATTCGTCATTGGTCTCTTCATCAACTGAATACTAAAAATGTATTTCTTCACGGTGATTTAGAGGAAAAGGTTTACATGGAACAACCTTTTGATTTTGTTGCTCAAGGGGAGTCCAGCACTACAAGAAAATCTCATATTTCCGACGGATTTTTACCAACGGATTTGTAGCCGTCGAAAAATGAGTCATTACCGATGGAAATTACCGACAGATATAGAATTTGGTCTTACCGATAGATATATCCGTCGGTAAAATAATAATTAGTTACCGACGGATATATCCATCGGTAAATCCGATGGTAAATTAACAATTAATTACCGACGAATATATCCATCGATAAATTAACAATTAATTACCGATAAAAATTAACAATTAATTACCGACGAATATATCCGTCGATAAATTCGTTAGTAAATTAAAAATTATTTATCGGCGGATATTTCCGTCGTAAATCCATTGGTAAATTAACAATTAATTACCGATAGATATATCCGTCGGTAAAATTATATAGTAATTACTTAATATATTCTAATAAACTAATTATTCACCTAATTAAAAAATTAAATATTTTTTTATTTAATAATTTAATTTAATCATAATTAGATTAATTTATAATAATTTATTAAATTAAATCATTTAAAAAAAATAAATATTTAATTATATATATATATAAATATATAAGTATATAAATATATCAAAATATATAAATATATAAATATATTTGTATATAAATATAATTTATTTGTAAATTATTATCAAAAAATTTTAGTAGCTTAGTGGTTGGAGTATCGGTCTCTAACTCTAAGGTACATCCGATGGAGTTCCATCCGTCGGTAATTTTGTAAAATATTTACCGACGACCAAATTTCGACGAATTTTTGGCCATCGGAATTCTTTCGGTAATATCTATTTACCGACGGATTTTTGTTATTACCGATGGATTTTGACCGTCGGTTTCAATATTTCTTGTAGTGCAGATTTGTATGTAAGTCACTTCCTTCTCTCTATGATCTTAAACAATCATCACGTGTTTGGTTTGGGAAGTTTAACCATATTGTTCAAATTTTTGGGCTAAAACGAAGTGAAGCTGATCATTTAGGTTTTTATTGTCACACCTCCCACGATAAATGTGTTTACTTGATTGTATATTTTAAGATTAATTATTAAAATATCACGTAATAATATTTTAAATATAACTATCCTTAAAATACATTTTTTAGGTTAATTATTAAAAATAATTTGTCAGCCTCTCAATAAACATATTAAATAAATGTTGGTTGAATAATTGATATGTTAATTTGTTTTAGGTTAATTATGAGAAATAATTATTAATGCATTCAAAAATTAAAACATATATTATTTTAATATAAATAATGTATGAAATATTTAATTTAATCTCATAAAATTGTTTCCGATTATTCTTACATTTATTTATAGATTAGTCCAAAAAAAGAATCTTTATGCCCCAGATGCCTTTTTCAGAGAGGAAGACAGGCTTGGTCTTTGTATCCTTCCTCTTAAGGCTTGGTTTTTGTAATGTTTCGAACACAACTCATCAATCTAATATTATTATAGATTCAATTTTCCGATGATATTATTACATTTATATTTTATCATATTTTTCTCGAAGCAGTTTTTCAGCATAGCAGGTCTTGAGGAGAACATTTTTCATTAATCGTTCTTGATCATTAATTATACGGTGATTCAAGGTTGATTTTTCAATTGTTTTTATATGATCGTGGTTACATTTCTAAATTAATAAAATAAATGTAAAGTTGTATATTTATATTTAGTCTAATTTCTCTCCATTCCAATTATCCAAACCAACAATATCACAATATTATTTATTTTTAATTGATTTGATTTTCCATATTTTCTAATTGATTAATAGCATAAAAACTTATAAAAATGCAATTAAACTCTAATTAATTGAAACGTTCATATGTTTTAAGGAATATATCCGTATCCATTAATGTTTCATGATGAATGATATTTTATTTTATGTGGAGTGGGATCCCCTCCTCTTCCGAATAGTAACCTAAGAAAATTGTCATAAACAAAGGATTGTGAAAAATCCCTGTACTTGGCTCACAGTATCAGCACATACGCAAACAAAGGCAATAACAATCTAAGTAGTCAATTATCAGAACGATACATGCAATATTTGAGTATTAAAAATATTAATTATCTAATACTTTTAATTGTTTTCTTATGAGATCGTTTCACATGGCATATTGATTATGTATCTTATGTGTGAATGGAACTGTAATGAGCAAATATGAGATGTGAGAAGAGGGAGTGTATGGTTATTTATAGAGATGCAGAGGTGAATGGAGAGTGCCGAGACGCACAGAGCAAAAGAAGAGAGAGGAAAGAGAGTAGCCATGTCAAAGGTATCATGCATAGTAAGAATGATAACGATGATAGTGGTGATGGTGATGGTGACAGTGACGAAAGCAGCTTCAATGAACTACGCAGAAGCATTAGGAAAGAGCATTCTCTTCTTCGAAGGTCAGAGGTCTGGCAAGTTGCCACCTTCTCAACGCATGAAATGGAGGAAAGACTCGGCACTTTCTGATGGCTCAGATATTCAAGTAAACAAACTCTCCGTATATGCTCCGCTCTCTGTGAAATAAAAATCATTTTTTGGATTCATTTTTTTTATTAGAAATGCTGAAATTCATGATACAATTTTACAAAAAAATTGGTTAAGTAGACATTACTTTCCTATATAGTACAATTTTATCATACAATATTATGATATTTTTAATTATATGAGATTTCATCATGCCTCTTCACTTTGAAGAGTCGAAGTTGAAGATTATTTTTTTTTCATCATTTTTCAAATAAATCTGAAATTTTGATTTCTCAAATTTTATTTTTTTTCCTTTTTTTTTACTCTATATCATTCTTATTTAATCATTATTTGTTTAATAAAAAATAATTTACAATTTCAACAACATTCTATTCTTAGATTTTATATATTAGATGTGAAATCCCTTACATTTTTTAATTTAAAACAAAATAAGACTTAATTACTTTTTTAAGAATAAAAACTAATTTTAGGAGAAAAAAATTATTATAAATTTAAAAATAATGAAAACTCGATAACTTTAAAAAAATTATACTCGCTTATTTCGTAAGAATAAAAAACATATTTAAATTTATTTTTTATATTTAACATAATTATCATTTTTGGATAATAAAAATATAACTTTATACCTATTTAAATATAGGGTGTAGACAAACTTTTTGGTAACCACTTTTAAGAGAAAAAATTAAAATAAATATTCTCAAAAAAACTTAATTTATGTGATAAACTAATTTATATAATTAATTTTTCAAATGAATTTTATAATTTTTTTTAGTTTATTTTTAATCTAACTTAAATTTATTAAGAATTTTATTTCATTTTTCTTATTTAATATTTTATTAGTCTTTACCAAAATGTTTGTCCAAATATACCAAAATGTTTTGGAAATCTTACTTTATCAGATACTAAGAATTCAAATAATAAACATATATTGATATGAGATGTCTACTAAACTAATTAATATTTTATGAAGTACAAGAATATGTTTAATTAACATTAGAGACAATTTACGAAAATATATACATAATGTAATGCTACAAATTAACCAAAATAATCAATTTCCTTAATTGTTATAAATTAATTAAGTGAGTAAATGCATTAATTACAAAATTATTGGTATAATTAAATTTGCTTTTACTAATTGAAAAGTGTGTACGTTGTATTCTGCATGGCATCACAGATGGATTTGGTAGGTGGATACTACGATGCTGGCGACAATGTGAAATTCAATTTTCCAATGGCATTCACGACGACGATGCTGGCGTGGAGTGTGGTTGAATTCGGAGATTCGATGGGCTCAGAGCTTAAAAATGCATTGGATGCAATCAGGTGGGGAACTGATTATTTCATCAAAGCCACCAAATTTCCTGATAAGGTTGTGGCAGTAGTGGGCGATCCCGTTAAGGATCACAATTGTTGGGAGAGACCAGAAGACATGGACACTCCTCGAACCTCGTACTATGTAACTCAAAACAAACCAGGTTCAGAAGTTTCTGCTGAGATTGCAGCAGCACTTGCAGCATCTTCCATTGCATTTAGGTCAACCGATGCTTCCTATTCCAACTTTCTTCTCAATAGGGCTATTCAGGTAGTATTTCAATTTCACAGTAACTATATATGCGTACTCATCAACTGTAATTAATATTAATGTCTTTCAATGACTTGTCTTGTCCTGATTACTTAGGTGTTTGACTTTGCAAATAAGTATCGTGGATCTTATAATCTCAGCGTAGGTGAGGGAGCATGTCCATTCTACTGTGATTATAGTGGCTACGTGGTATGAGTTTCCCTTTCATATAGTAATATTATTCATATAATAAAGTACAAATTATTATTATTATTACAATTCAGGATGAGTTGATCTGGGGTGCGGCATGGTTGTATAAAGCCACGGAGACAACCAGTTACTGGGATTTTGTAAAAGCAAACATTCAATCTATAGACAATAATAATTTTGAATTTGGATGGGATTGCAAGAATGCTGGTATAAATGTACTTGTTTCTCAGGTTAGTTTAGTCATCTTGCATTTCCTCTTCAAGTTCACTTTTGTTCTAGTAATTTTATGTAACTTTTTATTCTAGATTTTAGAAAATTGGACTTTGATTTGACAGTGGGCGATGGGTGATTCAACAAGCGCAAGTCCTTTCATTCCTAATGCAGATAAACTTATCTGTTCTTTGTTGCCAAATTCGCCAACCAAATCAGTATCCTACTCTAAAGGTACCAAATCATTATATACATACATACATACTGGGTCACTAACTGAATCGAATGTAAAATTGAGTGGTAATCATCAGGTGGTCTTCTATTCAAACCTGGAGGAAGTAATCTACAACACACATCAGCTTTGTCATTTCTTTTAATTGTTTATGCACGTTACATGCATGCGGCAAACAAGAAAATACCTTGTGGGCAAGAAGTTGCGGATCCAACTTTGCTCATAAATATTGCAAAAAGTCAGGTATATATGCATGCACAGGCCTAGTGTGGATGATTGATATATTCATGTTTGAAGATGTAGTAATTAGTTAAAATATATATATGCATATGATATGATGATTGTAGGCTGATTACATATTGGGAAAGAACCCTCTGGGAATGTCATACATGGTGGGATATGGAGACAAGTTTCCTGAAAAGATACATCATCGTGGTTCTGTGGTGCCATCTTTGGATGCACACCCTCAACACCTTGGTTGTCGTGATGGAGATGAATACTTCAAGTCAGATAAAACCAATCTTAACGTCCTAATTGGGGCTGTTGTTGGAGGACCTGCAGAAGATGATTCCTTTCAGGATTCCCGTTTAAATGTTGCCCAGTCAGAGCCAACCACATACATCAATGCTCCTTTTGTTGGTGTTTTGGCTTACTTCAACAAACCTACTGTTACTGTTAGTTAGCTTTAGTTTTGTCCAAACATGTTTTATAATTTATCAGTTATTTTTAAATTATGTGCAAAATTATGTGTATTTATCTATTCAATAAAAAATCTATTTGTTCATCGTATTCGTACAATTTTATCATTCATTATCTATTCAAATTATTAAACAAACATGTATAACCAACCGTCACTTCACTCTGAAAAATTTATAATGGGATAAGAACATCTTAAAAATAAAAATAAAAAAATACCATATGTAATATTGATTAAAAAAATTAAATATAATATGAATTTTTAAATTAATTATTTGTCATAATCTATATTCATATAAAAAATAAATAAAACACATTAATAATTGTGACTTATACATAATCAACGTAGAGTAGAATGTAATATATTATATTAATTTTTTTAGGACCGATAGTATATATTCACTTTTATATTAGTTATTAATAATGTTAAAAATTTTATATTTTTATATTAATTTAATAATTAATATAAAAAAATTAAAATAAATAATATATAAAATATATTTTTTAATAATAAATTATATATATCATCTTTATATAAATAATTTTTTCTTAAAATTACCAACTTGGTGGAAATTTGTTTTGAATTTGGTTATATGTCACATGGTTTCAATTCAAAGAAGGATTGTGGAATACATGGAATATATGAATCCGAGAGAGAAGCATTGTCGCACCAATCCATACTAAAAAAAAACACACTAGAAATGAGTTTGAAAATATCATCATTTACGAATACAAGTTTAATGATAATTCTTGCCACTAAGGATAATATTGATATGGACAATGCTGACTTTAAGATTTGGTATTTAATTTGGAATACAATTTCCATTATAGAATTAGTTATAATAGTAAAAATGAAAAGTCAAAGTTTCACAGAGGAAAATGATAGCATATTAAATATGAAAGAAAAAACAATAAAGAATAATAATTATACATAACATATTTTATTCTTGTTAATTAAGGGATAAAAAAATTGTAAATAACACCATACGTGAAAAGAAAGAGCATAAGAATATATAATGAAAAAATAAATTAAGTATAGAACTAAAAAACTAAGTTGTTAAAACAAACTTAACACTCTGACATCATATATATTTTAAAAATTAAAATTATAATATCCAATATTATTAGAAGATAAGTTATAATAAAAAATATTTTGCTAAAGATGTTTTTGGATTTTAATTACCTCAAAATCTATATAACAACTGATAACGGTATGAAAATATATGATTGTTAAGTATAGGGATCATGTCAGTCCATTTAACTATAAAATAGTACAAAGTTTTTGTTATTACAGCTAGTAAGGAGAAGATCTTACAAAAATATCTATTATTATCAATAAATGAGTGGGTGATTGGAGACTATAGGAAATCTTTTTTTTATCTGTATCTCTAGATTAAATCATTCTACACTTTTAAACAGTCCAGTAGGAGAGGGTATTTTTTATATTTTTTTATTAATCATATACTAATAATTATAAAACATTGTGTACCCTATTTAAGAATATTTAAAACATTTAATACAGAAAATATATATTAACTTATTCTCATCGACCATATATATGTATATTACAATTAGCTTCTACAGAGATGTGTGTTTAAAATTGGTTTAAAATTTTGATATTATATTTTATTATATATTAACTTAATTTAAATTTGTAAACTTTGTTTTTTTATAAATGTTGATTTTAATTATCATATTAAATTAGAAAATATTAATTTCTTATTTATTTGATAGTATTTTAATATTTATTTTCAATGATTTTATTGGTTCCAAGATATAAGACTTTTAGACATTTTTTTATTTTATTAATAGTTTATCATTATTTTTATTAGAAATAAATGAGTACTAGAAAACAAATGAAATTAATGGGATTCTAAATCTCAAGTAAAATTACAGAGATTATAAATCACTAGAGATAACAAAGCAGAGATTTCGAAATTGCTAAAAGGTAGTAGGGATTTTAAAATTGTAAAGAAGTAGTGGGGATTTTAAAATTGTGGAGAAATAGTGGGGATTTTAAAACCGCAGAGAGATAACAAGGGTTCTAAACCATAGAAAAGTACTTGGAATTAATAACCGTCTATAAATCTTAAATTTTCAAAGGTTAAAAAACTTGCTAATAATCAATTAACGACGTTCGTTTTCTTACCAAATAAACAATCATATTTAACACAAATATAATATAATATTATATTATTTTTTTAAAAATAGATATTATATATTCACTTTTATATTAGTTATTAATCAATATTAAAAAATTTATATTTTTTATATCGATTCAATAATTAATATAAAAAATTATAGTTTTTAATAATAATAAATATATATATATATATATATATCACTTATTTATATAAACAATTTTTTTCTTAAAATCTTAAAAATACCAACTTGGTGGAAATTTGTTTTGAATTTGGTCATATGTCACATTGTGGCACCAATCCATGCTAAAAAAATCACTAGAAATGAGTGTGAAAATATCATCATTTACGAATACAAGCTTATTAAACTTCGGACAGAGGATCATGGTCATTAATCCGGACCAAAATAATAATTCTTGCCACTAAGGATAATATTGATATGAACAATGCTGACTTTAAGATTTGGTATTTAAGTTAGAATTACAACTTCCATTATAAAATTAGTTATGATAGTAAAAATGAAAAATCAAAGTTTCACAGAGGAAAATGATACCATATTAAATATGAAAGAAGAAAAAACAATAAAGAATAATAATTACAAATAACATATTTTATTCTTGTTAACTAAGGGATAAAAAAATTGTAAATAACCATACGTGAAAAGAAAGAGCATAAGAATATATAATAAAAAATAAAATTAACTATACTACTAAATAACTAAGTTGTTAACACAAACTTAACACTCTGAAATCATATTTTAAAAATTATAATTATAATATGCCATATTATTAGAAGATAAGTTATAATAAAAAATTAAAAAAATATTTTGCTAAAGATGTTTTGGATTTTAATTACCTCAAAATCTATATAATAACGGATAACGGCTGAAAATGTTGAATAGTAATGAAAGTATACGATTGTTAAAATCATATATTTCACATCAATATTAATTATATATAAATCTGAGATTTGTTTTAAAATATGGTTTATTATTTTATTTTTTAAGTTTATATTTTTAATTTTGATCAATAATTGTACACAATTTTTTTAGAATTTCAAATACTACTCTTGTACAGAATGCTGCTATGAAATCAACAAGTGGTGTACAATTTGTCTTACAATTTGGTTATATTTTTATGAGATTAATCACATGGCACTTAATTAGTTGAAAATCTTGATGACATCAACAAAGAGTTTTTATTTATTATTTAGTGTTGTTATGGATTAGCCAGAAGATTTGATGAAGTGGAATAGATGCAAATTGCCAAATCGAGGGACACAGAGAGGACCAATGGAACAGACCATTCAACTTCTCATTCTCATGATTGCATTGCAGCAGCCTCTAAGCCACTTGTTGCCCCACTGGCTTCTTCCATCCAATCTCATTCACTCTGTAACTAATCATACATTCATATTCCTTCAAGGATTCAATTTTGAGATGTTCTCTTCCCACTATCACCACACTTCCACCCTCATACAAACCCTATTTTGTCCTTATCTCCTTCAAACAATACCTCACTTTCTTACATTTATTATGGAAAAGGACTTTCTGTTCTACTCAACTTGCATTGGTGCTGAAATTAAGTAATAATCCTGTGATCTCAAATTAACACTGTATATCCGCACAACTTGAGGAATAATACAAGGGAAAGAAAAAACCTTTCAGCTCCTTGTCAATTTCAAGGATAGGTGCTAGTAATTAATTTTACCAGAACTATTATCATGTTTATTTCGTGTAGGGAGTTTCTGTTTCCTTCTCATTTTCAATTGCAGTTATCCACATCATGAACATTGGACTGTATTATTAAAAAATATGTGACGTTTTAACATCTTCTGAAAAGGAAAGTATGGTGATGCCCCACATCGATTCACAACATTATTTCTTCCTTTTTCTTCTAAAATATCTTCTGCAGTGTCCAACCTCTCCCATCCAATGATACATTATTGATAGGCTCTGATAGCGGGCAATTATTCGTGAAGTTAAAAATAAAATAAAATAAAATATCATGAATTTAAACAAGTTTAGTGTTTAACAAATTTTATCATAATTTACTATTTTAAAAACTATTTTCATTTAACTAAAATTTGTTAATGGTTTTTTTATTATTGAATCAATTTCTAATAAAAAAATAATTCAATATGTTCATGCTTTAATATTCTCATAGGTTTCATGTTGTCCAGAGTTGAAGTTGATATTCATCTTACTCTGTTAATATATTATATTGAGACGTATTTTAAAAATAAAATTATAACAAATTAAAATTATAAAATAAATAATGTATTAGATATATAATGAATGCTAATAATCCTATGATAAGAAACATGTCTTATTCTTAGGGAGAAGATAGCCGTGCACCATTAAATACATAAACAAAGAGTAACAGTATTTGGTTAGTTAATCCAAGATGCTCCCTGATCAATAGGAACGATATGCATGGCTTAGGAAGCAGCCACCATACAGGATAATTAGCAGCCACACGTTGTGAGTCAACTGTAAACGTACGAAAATGTTCTTTCCCTCAGATAATGCATATGTATGTTTTACTGCTTCTGAGCTTAAACGCCAGTAAGACGGAGACGGGTCTACACAAAAAGAATTTGGTCTATATTATAAGGAGTTGATTCGAAAATCGCAAGTTTTTACTACTACGTTTTATTATGCAGGAAGTGTATCCAATAAAGAGGCATCAAAACGGGAAAGAATCACAGGCTCAACTAGGATTCAATGTGAGACGTTACACTGAATTTTGGTTGATTTATAAAGTGACCCCACTCACATGCTAGTCATTGTTTAAACTTTAAATTGAGGGGGAACCAAGAGAACCCCACTGGTCCCAATTATTGGACTTATAGCGTGAGTAGATGACTCATGTCCCTCTTGTAGGATGACTCTTCTTCCTAAAAACCGAACTTCGTTTTGAAAATCTTTTGCCCCTAAAATATCGTCCTAGAAAATCTGTTTATGGAAAATATCGTCCTAACGGGTTACTTATTTGAATTGTGATATGCAAAGGACTAATAGTAAAACTGTCCACGGATAGAATATAATTTCTGAGTCCTATATATATGGGTTACCTTCCTTCCCATTTTCCTCACCCAACCAAATTAATTCTAATCTGAGATAGGAAAACAATGGAGGCCATATCTTCCAAGCACCTTATCACGACCCTTCTCATAATTCTTTCTTCTAGTTTCACCGCTCAGGGTACCAACAAAGTTAATGAAAGACCATACCAAGAAGCGAGCACAGTGTTCATTAGAACATCATGTAGTTCCACAACATATCCAAGACTCTGCTACAGCTCCCTGGTGAAGCATGCAGACTTGATCCAAACAAATCACGTGGTGCTAACAGGCACGGCCCTGAATGTGACTCTTGCATCTGCGAAATCGACCTCGGCAATGATTTCAGCACTGGCAAAGAGACAGGGGCTGAAGCCAAGAGAGGTTGCGGCGATGAAGGACTGTGTGGAGGAGCTGAGTGACTCAGTGGATGAACTGAGAAGGTCTATCGATGAGATGAATCATCTAAGACCCTCCAACTTTGAGATGACAATGAGTGACGTACAAACGTGGGTGAGTGCTGCTTTGACGGATGAGAGCACGTGCAGTGATGGATTCCAAGAGACTGAGACTGGTGGTTCAAATCTTAAGAGAAGTGTGAGAGGACTTGTTGTGCAGGTAGCCCAATTGACCAGCAATGCCTTGGCTCTGATAAATCAGCTAGCCAATTCTCATGGTTAATCTTCTCTCCTTTTAGTCTCCCCTTCCATGTGTGCTACAGTGAGTGTGAAGTGATGTAAATATATATAGTAATTTGGTGAGATTCATGTCCCCGCTAGCGTTAAACTGTTAATGTGTCTGCTGCTAGCTGGTTCACTGATTCCAGTGCTTTGAGTTAGGCTATTATATTATTGTCTTTTATTTACTTCTTTTTTATTTTTGTTGTTCAATCACTTGTATAATTATTATCAAGTGAAGTTGCTGAGGTTATGTCAAGATTCTCAACTTACTGCCTCCTAAATATTATTACAATATACGTGATTAAAAGTTTTTGTATATCAAATTAAAAATGTTTATAAAGAAATAATACATGTTGAAGAAGGCTAGAGTTCATCCTCGTTAAAACAAGTCACCGTCTTCAATTAGAAATACATGTCCAACAAATAGTTGGGGAGCCCTATCATGGAATTTATAACCAACTATGAAATACTGAACAAGCAAAACATTATTTTTTAATAGTCATAGGTCATACATATATTACAATGATCATAATTAAGTATTAATATATGTGTTGTAATTTATAGGAATAATAGAAAATGTAATTTATTTTAATGGGAGATATAGGAATAGGAAGATGTTGCAAAAATAATTTCTCATGACTGTTCTTAAATTAAATTTTACTTAAACTAATTTATTTGTTATATTTTTTATCAACTAATTACGATTCTTTTTTTTTTTTTTAACGAGAACATACAGGTGTTTCATATTTTTTATTGAAATAATTTTTTTAGATAGGATATTTTTATTGTTTAATTTTTTATAGAATATATTTTTATATCTTATGACAAAATTAATATTAGATTTCTTTATGTATATTTGTCGATTTTTTTCTTCAATATATTTTTTTAAAAATAAATAATAATTTATCTAATAAATAAAACTTATTTTTAATGCAGTGTTCGGTGATATTTTAGTAATTGAAGATGTCGAAATCGAACTTAAATAAAAAGTATCATCCAATGTTGTTGATCCACCAATATTTTGATTAATACAAAATATTTTGTGAATTAAGTAAAAGATGTTTCAGCCAAAAGACATTATCTCTGATTAAACAACCTTTTAAAACCAATATTGATTTTGAAATATAGAAGATTGTTTTATTAAATATAAATCTAATTAATTGAATTGAGTTAAAATTAACTAGATTTAAAAAATTAGATTTTTTTTCATATTTTCTAGTGGCGTAGGTTCACATTATGCGGGTTTAATTTCAGCTTAATGTTCCATGTGTCAATTCGTAATGTACTACATTAATTTTAGCCTCACGTTGTGAGTATCAAATCACAATGTACTAGACTAATTTCAGCCTTTTATTTTCCATGTACAAGATCTTCCTTCTCTTCTCAATCTCTCCCCTTTTGTCGTCAATAATTATTGTTAGTTCCGTTTTTTACCCGACAAGACTCATATTCCAGTTATCTTGTTTAGTTAGAATATTTTGATATTGTACTTTTATTATATTCTCCTTACGTTAAAATTACAAATACATTAACCCTATTGATGAAATATATTTGATTGCTCAAATAGGAAATATATATATCTTAAATCTCTTATTTTCATCTATTTCAATCTATAATTCATTTAATTTAGTTGACAAATTTCATTTTAATCCGGGGTGATTAACTAATAAAAATAATATCGTGTATCTTTCAAGGTTAATTTAAGAATATTTTTGCAAAATAAACATGAGTCAAAAGAATATCATATCAACCACAAAAACTTAGAATATTATATCAACAAAAAACTTAAAATATGTATAAATTAGATATTAAAATAGGCTTAACTCAATACATCAATAGAAAGACTCAAGACATCATGTTAAATAAAAAAAATTATAATTTAAATTAAATCAAACATATATTTGATATGACATATTTAAATCATGATTTACATAAACTTATAACATAATAATTTATAAATTTATAAGTCAACTTATTTTATAGAATAATAATAATTTTTTAAAATAAAATAAAAATAATATTATTTTATTAATATATATATATATATTATGAATTAATTTGACAAGATATTCACTTATTCTAACAATAAATACTAGAATAAATCTTTAACAATCACTTATTTCAAGATATAATAATTAAGATTAATTAGTATTTTAGATTAAAAATTACTAAAAAAATAAGTAATAATAAAAAAGAGTAAGTTTTTAACTAAATTTGAATTCATTCTCTTATAATTTATATATTAAATTAGTATATTCTAAATAAAAATTAATTTTATTAATATAATTTAAATTTTAAAAATATTTTTTTAGTTTTATTTTTATTTAAATAAATTTTAATTAATCATTTTCATATAAATATGTTAATTTTTTTTTCAATCAAATCAAAATTAGCTCGTTAACTTATTAACCTAAACTAAAAATTATGGTATATTTTAAAATATAAGTTAATTTAGGTTATCAAATTTTGTTTCTTTACTTATAAGGTGAAGTCAAACTAAATTGAGTTGTCTATTTTAACTACTCTATTAATAAAAGAATGTCATGTATGGATTAGAATGCTGGCACATGCAGATTCTCATGAGATAGGCACGGGATAAAAAAGATATAATATTATATTCAACTCAAGAGATTATAAGTCTTTTTTATTTATAAATTATTTAATTTTTCTCAAAAGAAATCAACTTTTAGTCCTTGTTTGATCAACTGATAAATTTGAGAAATAGAAAATAATAGATTTGAGGGTAAAAAAAATGTGAGTAAGATTATTTAGATTAAGGAAAGAGGGGTAAAAAATTAAAAAATGAGATGAAAATGCACAAATGATTTGATTGACGTGAATGATAAAAAATATTTGAATAAAAAAAATAAGATGACAAAATTACCGTTTTGATAAAAATTAGTATTATTATTATTATTTAAAATAAAAATATATCTTCGAAAATAAAAATTATTAAAATTTAAGTTATTATTTATTTATAGTTTTAATTAATTTTTAAGTGATTTATAATTAAATATCATCAATTATTTTGATCTCATATTTTAAAAGTTATTCATATATATATATATATATATATATATATATATATTATGATTTACATTCTAATTGATTATTAAAATGTTTTTTATTGAATTTTTTTAATTCATATTTATTATATATATTGGTTATATAAAAAATTTAATTATGAATGATAAAATAAAAAAATATGTTAACAAAATTTTAAAAAATAAAATAAACTTTCTTATCTTTTCCCATGAATATTTTCTTTTAAAAACTGAAATATGTTTGGTAGTCCCACAAATTCGTCTCCTCTATTTCTATCCAAATCAATCTATTAAAAAAAATATCCATATGCCCATATCTTACTTTCCATTTTCCTTGGCTATAGTACTTCGGAAGCATACACATGTTTAGAGTGAACTTGGATTTTGAGGAAGGAGAACACTATATTTTCAAAGGAATTGAAGGAGATCACATTGTTCTCCAACACCCTTTTGAATCTCATGTCGGCTTGGTTGGTTGTCAACGAACCGGTGCTCCGACGAGGACACGAAGAGGCAGATCTTTTTAAGAGTCGAAGAGTTCATCACTCTTCCAAAATTTTATAACTCGTAATTTATGATTTTAATTTCCTAAATTTAATAAAAATTTAATATATTTACTTGAATATTTATAATTTTATCGATCTCGATCTCTCTTCAGTTTTATAACTTTCATATAATTTATGATTTTGTCTCTTTCAAACTTAATTATTATTTAATATATTTAAGTATATATTTATAGTTTTATTTCACTTTTTTATTTTTTTTTATATTTATTAATAATATATTATTTGACCTCAAAATCAATAATCAAGATTGCAAACTCACCACACGGTAAAGAAAATGAATCTAAAATTGTTTGGAATGCTCCTGCACAAAGCAATGAGAGAAAATGGACATGAAACACACTATGATACCGTATTGAGTAATGTGAAATTTGAATTAGTGATGAAGCTCTCTTTAGTAGCTAAATTATTCAAATTACCAAAAAAGACAACCTTGTATCTGTTTCCAATACTGTTTACGCGAATAGATTATGTTCGTTTCTAGTGATAGAGTGGATTGTGAGTATGGATTTGAAGGATAAAGGATAATTTAATCATTTAAAAAAAATTGTCATTCACAATATCAAATTACTCATAAATTTTCTTCTTATTTTCTTTCATTTGGTATCTTGTTTTCCTTAATTCAAATTTCATTTTTTTCCCTTAAATCTATTAATTTTTTCAATCCTGAAATTCATCCTCTAATCTAAATAAAGATAAAATTTTATTAAAAATTTTAGTTATATTTGTTTATGAATACATTTAATATTAATTTTTTATTTCTTTGCTACATTTTTTTAATACTGTTATGGTTAAATAATATACATAACCGCAATTTATAATTTTACATATGAGTATAAAATATTAATTATAAAAAACATTTGCAAAATCCCATTCACTAAATACACATAATCATAAACAAATGAGTAAATAGAAATTGTTGAAGAAGGATACAGGTGGTCCTCATATTAAAACAAGTCACACACTATTCTGGATTAATTGCAGCCAAAAACGTGATTGTAGTAGATTAATTTCAGCCTCACGTTGCCCCCTGTCAATTTACATTTGTACTAAACTAATTTCAGCCTTTTATTTTCCATGGACAAAATCTTCTACTAAATATCTCCCTCGCTATCAATATTATTGCGTTTTCTGTTAGTGAGCAAGAATAGCTCAATTTTTTTTTTAGATATACTTGTTTTACATAGTAAGTATAAAGTAATACAATATATATTATTCACAGTTTTTACGGTTGGTTTAACAGGGTACGAGACGGATATACTGCTTTCAACTAATAAAATTTTAATTCAACCACTATAAAAAAATCGATATAAATTTGATAACGTTGAAAAAATTGATTGAATATTTTAATCATATTAATTTTGGTAAAAAAAATAAAAATTAAATATCAATTTTTTTTAAAAGATAATTATTTTATTAAAAAAATTAATTTTTTTATTCAAATAAATTATATCAATTTTAAATAATAGTTATTTTATTATATTTTTATCTTATTTTTATTATTAATTATTTTCTTTTTTTTTACTTTAGTTTATATTTGTAATCTATATTATAATATATTTAATAACGATATTATTATTATTATTATACTAATTTTAAAAATATATTATATTAATAAACTTATTATATTACTATATTTTAAAGAAATTATTTTATTAAATCAAATTTGACGTGCAAATTGTTTGCATATATCTATATGCAATTTATATCTTGTCTTTTTATTAATTTATTCCATTTTTATTCAAATTCATTGTATTATATATAATTTAAATAAAATAAAAAATCTTAAAAGATACTATTTATAAAAATTTGAAAATAAAATTACAAAATTATTTAATGATTAATCAATTTTTTTAGTTATTCGTAGAGTAAGAGTTCCTTGTGTTTTTTAATAACGTCCTTTAAAAGGGTTTCTCCCTCCCCGTAAATTTTTTGTTGAAAATATTATCATTATTTATTTGAATCGAGATTTATTCGTCGTGTTTTCAATTCATATTTTTACCGATTCATGATAAGAATATAAAGTATTATATTATTTAATATAAGTAATCTTCAATTCATATTTGTAATGATTCATGATGATAATTTAAAGTATTATATTATTTAATATAAATATTATGTTTATAGTTTACCACTGTCTCCCAAAAAACATATATGTTTTACTACCTGAGACCTAGAGGAGGCCATAAAGAAGGAGACAGTTATTTTTTTGTTGATGGAGTTGTATAGGCATGGTAACGGGTCGTGGGGGTGGGGTTTTGCCTTCCCCATTTTTTTTTTATTTTTTTAATCATCTTCGTGTTTGTTTTTTATTTTTGTTGGAATTAGAAATTAAATCATCATCTCTGTTTTTTTTTAGTTTTGGATTTTCTGTATCTGTCCCGTCCCCAATTTATATTATGATTAAAAAGATAATTACATTTATAATAAATTAATTTTACTATGTATTTTTTATATAAAAATAAATATTTATAATTTTATAATTTATAATAATTATTAATTAAATATATATATTTTAATTTATTATATTTATATTAAAATATATATGTAAAATAAATATTTATATATATATATAGAATATTTATAACATTATTATTATTATAACACTGTATTCATTTGAATACTTATAATATTATTATTATTATAATATTATATTCAAACATTTAATTACATATATAAGTAAATTTATTTTTAAGTTATCATTTAAAAATATGAAATATATAATTTATAAGAAAATATTTAATATGTTAATTCTTATTTAATTAGTTGAAAGTATAATTATTTTATTAAGAAAATTTTGATATATGATAAATAAGAATAATAAAATAAAAAATTATGACATAATAAAATCTAATAAATATAAATTATAAATAAAATAATATTAGTTATTACTAAGATTTATGTAAAATATTTAAAAAAAAGATAAAGAAAAAAAAATTAATATTATGTTCATCAAATTGGTTGAAAAGATTAAAAAAAACAAATCGATAAAAAAGATTAAGAAAATATACAAAAATAAGAGAAAATAAGGTAATAAATTAATTGATATAAAAAATAAAATAAAAATAAAAATTAAAAAATAGATAGAAAAAATAAAAAATAAAAAAATATAAGAAAACTAATCTTTTATGTAATAAAATAAAAAAGAAAATAGTTTTAAAATAATAATATTTTAAAATTTAAATTTAAAAATTTGTGGTGAGGATTAGATTACCGATTCTCACCTGTGATGAGTTTTTAAAGTACCCATCCCACCCCGCCCATCAAGTCGGGTTTTCCCCGTAAAACTGAGGGCAGGATGGGTCGATGCCCACGGTACCGGTTTCCCTAAGTTGTAACTTGCACCCTAATATATATTTCGTACTATGCAGGAACTGAATCCACGTTGAATAGAATGTTACACATCAAAGTGACTACCACTAGTCTGAAATTGAGGGACCCATAACCCCACTGGCTTTCAATTATTGAAATGCTTATTTCATGAACAGAAAAATGATTCTTTCTTAGATCACTCTTCATAAAAGCCGAACTTCTTAGTTTGGACCAGTTCGAAAATTATTCCTTACCTTAATATTTTCTTAACATGCGCAAAGGGTTAATAGTAAAATTACCTAAGGTAGAATTCTGAGTCCTCTATATATATAGGTTACCTTCCTACCCATTTTTTCCTCGCCCAACCAAATTAATCCAATAGCAAAGCAATGGAAACCATTTCTTCTATACATCTTTTCACAACTCTTTTCATAATTCTTGCTTCTACTCTCACCACACAGTGTGCCAACAAAGTTAGTGAAACACCTTACCAAGAAGCAAGCACGGTGTTCATCAGAACATCTTGTAGCTCCACAAGTTATCCAAGACTCTGCTATAGCTCCTTAGTGAAGCATGCAGACTTGATCCAAACAAACCGTGTGCTTTTAACGGGCACGGCTCTTAATGTGACTCTTGCATCTGCCAAATCGACCTCAGCAGTGATGTCAGTGATGGCAAAGAGGCAGGGGCTGAAGCCGAGAGAGGTTGCAGCGATGAAGGACTGTGTGGAGGAGCTGAGTGACTCGGTGGATGAACTGAGAAGGTCTATCGATGAGATTAGTCACCTAAGAACCTCCAACTTTGAGATGACAATGAGTGACGTACAAACATGGGTAAGCGCTGCTTTGACAGATGTGAACACATGCACAGATGGGTTCCAAGAGAGTGCCATAACCATTGATGGTACAAGCACCAAGAGCAGTGTGAGAGGACTTGTTGTGCAGCTAGCTCAGTTGACCAGCAATGCCTTGGCTTTGATAAATCAGCTAGCCAATTCTCATGGTTAAGGGCGTGTTATAGAACATCGATTTTACTTAATCTTATTGTCTCAAGTTATGCATGTGATCACCAGAGTTAGATTATCTTCTAGTGCTGCTGTTCAATTTCATTTCAGTGTGAAACATTGCAATATTTAGATAGCAATTTGTTGAGAGATTTATGTCACAGCTTCTTCTTTGTTTGGGGTGAACTACTTTATAATTAATATAAAGTGAAGTTCTTATGACAGTACGAAGATTTTGTACTTGCTGTCTTCTAAATATTCAGAACGCAGGTAGGTACGTAATGCATGTGTGTATGATCAATTGGAAATATTGATTGCTACCAGAAATATATATTAACTAACAGAAATTTATGAAGAGAGTTTGTGATCATACGTAAGCTTAGAACAAAATACTAATAAAACCTCTCCATTTCATTAATATGCGAGCTATGCTAGGAAACCAATAAAATTCGATTAATTTGACAGAAAATTTAATAGAAATGCCAACGTGCATGTTTTGGTACTTGTTATTATCATGCATACTTTGCGTATACGTGTTTCTTCGTAAACTTATGTTCATGAATTAATATTGTGGAATAACCAGAAAACCGAAACTAGTATTAAAATGAGATGACAAAATTTGCAATTAACTTGAGGTTTTGGATTTCTTGACTTGTCGGTTTTATCTACTTTTCCTTCTTTTGATATATTTTGTTTCGAAAAGGAAATTTAATTTGATTATTTAATTATTTATTTTAGATTTTAAATAAAAGTTTGATTAAATCTTCAAGTTTCAAAAACTCATCGCCCGTCATTATATTTATAATTATTTTAAATTAAAAGTTCTAATATTATTGTCGTTTTAAAATTAAAAAATCCATAAATAATAAGAAAAGTATCATATTTTGATCAATCTCGTGCGATTTTGACCCGCCAACAATCATCTACCTTTGGTTGATCTTCAACCTCTTCCTTTCATTTCATGAAGTATTAATGCCCACAACGGTGCTTTATAGTTCTCCAACCTCAAATTTATTATTGCTAAAATGAGTCATTATTGTAAGGTATTTTAAAATTTAATGCTTATTTTTCAAAATAACATTCATACCAACTACTTTGCCATGTACGATCCTTATGCAATGTCAGCTTTTCTTGCATCTCAATTTTGGAGACTATTTTTTAAAATGTTGACTTTCTATATTTAAATAATGGAAGCGTTATGAAAAAAAATCAAGGTGAGAGATAACATGAATACAAATACAATAATATTATAAGATATAAGTATACTCTTTATCGTTTTGAATTAAGTATTTTAACGTTTCAATTAAAGTCAATATTTTTTATATTCAAGTATTTAAATTTATAATGAAACAAATTCATGTATCTATAAATTGACAGAGAAAAAAATAAAAAACCGTGGGTAACAAAAAAGGGAAGCAGAAAGCAAAACCCTTAACTTCTTATTTATGTTTTAAAAGTGAATAATAGAATCATGTGCTGACCTATTTTTTCCTTAATCTTTGATATTACAGTAAACAAGACGCGACCTTACTGCGTCTACGTGTACGATATAGCAGCATGTGACTGTTGCATGTGGCATCCCATCTTGTATGTAGGGTTTAATATGCTTATGAACAGAGTGGATTGATCAAATACATAATCAGCACGTACATTTGTTTGATCATTCCCTCTCTTTCCTTTTAGCTTATAGCTTTCACGTTATCATCATAATTGCTTATAGCTTCAAATACTATAAATTTTGCTTATAAAATCCCCGTTCGACACTTCTACCAATGCAATAGAAAGACACAAAATGATGGCATTGCGCTCTCTCTTTAGAGTAATTGCATCACTTCTATTCCTCTCAACCTTTCTCAAATTTGCAGCATCTGCGTCTTCCAAATCCACACCCACCACCGGTTCCCTCAGAGACTACAAAAAGTTCATAAAAGATGAGTGCAATTCAACCACTTATCCAACACTTTGCTACAACTCTCTCTCCCCATATGCATCAAACATCAAAAGAAACCGCGTGACACTCACCAAACTCTCCATTCATGTGGCTCTAAAAGCAGCCAAGAGTGCAAACAGCACATTGACAAAGCTGTCCAAGGGGAAGCTAACGTATGGAGAAACGTCTGTCATTGGTGACTGTCGAGAGAACATGGAGGACACGTTGGATCTGCTTCAGCAATCTGCTGATGGGTTGGCACATTTGAATGGTACCTCTACTGCTGAAGAGAAGTTTCAATGGGATAACATAAAGACCTGGATGAGTGCTTCCATAACAGATGAGTCTACATGTACCGATGAGTTTGATGAAATACAAGTGCGTCCTTCACTGCAGAAGAAGATCAAAACCAGCGTTTATATTGTTTCTTGGTTGAATAGCAATGCCTTGGCACTCGTCGACAGGCTTTACTAATAAATATTGATGCTCAATCAAGTAAACCATACTCGTTCAATGTGTGTTTCTTCTACATATAAACACAATCTTTCTCTTTCTGGGGATACCTGTGCTTTGCGTGGTTTAATTGTTTCATAAGCCACTATTATTGTAAAATTGTGGCTTTCACACTGTCATTTCTTATTATTCTACACACTTCATCCTATGAATTGAAATATATACTACAAAAATTTCTTTTCAAGATATAAACATGTGTAGCTAATTAAATAAACTGAAAATTAGAATAATAATTATATAAATTTAAATCAACATGATCCAATATATATGATAATATTTTATAAAAATAATAAATTATTTGATTTAATGAAACATTTTAATAATATTTTATTTGAGCTAATTTTTCTTAAGATATTAATTGATTTTTTAATAAATTATGAACAATTTATTAATTTTGTTAAAGTTTTTTCTCTATATAAAATCTATCTATTTTAACATTTTTTTTTCAAATTATACTGAATTATGAATAATATTATAACCAATTTTATTGTTATAATATAATTTAATAAATACAAGATTTTGTAAGAATATAAACTTTTACAAATTTAATTGAAGACGAGTTAAGAATTGACCTGGATTGTGAATCCGCAGATATTAATTCAAACCTTATCATATATGATTTTGATTCCTAATGATTATGATTAACCGACCCAAATATCTTGACATTACATTTTAATTAGTAAAAGTAAGAAGTACAAAAATAAAATATGTAAAGAGTTAGACTCTTAATTTTATAGAATAAAATAAAACCAACAATGAGAAAATGATCCATTCACAAACTAATAGAATTAGTTTTTAACCATGATTATACTTCATATAAAACAAAATGTGACATTTATGACACAAATGGACTTCATATTTGGCAATAATGTCATGGTTTTGCAAAACTGCAACATCTATAAAGAACCCTGTTCATCGAACCATCACTATCAATGTTCAAGAAAGAAGTGATCCTAACCAAAACACTGGAAGTTATTATATCAGAATATGATTTTTGTAGTTTTTGCTTTAGTCACCACATTACTCAACACTTTGTGCTGCGAGGGAAAAGGGACTCCATTTCAAAACAAAGGATCTTTGAAGAAATTATTGGTTAATGGTCATTCACAATTAACAATAATATTGATACAAGTTGCACCGTAAATTTAGGATCTTTATTTTCATCTCAAGAAATTGTATTAACAAATATCATTATTGTAGATTTGCTTGATGCAACATGTGAAAGTTGCTGCAAGAATCAATAGAGTTTTGTTCCATGTTATGCTTTAAGCATAGGCGATGAAGGAATTCGATAATGCAAGTTATGTGGTAATGTAAAGTTGTAGATCAAAGAATCCTTATCGTGATCACATTTGTGGGACAACATGGAGTGAATGAATCATGCATCAAGCATATCTTGTGGTGACTCAAGAAAGAACACACACAAATGTACACTTCTGATGAACAATGCATCAAGCACGTTTAGGGTAAAAGAGAATTTTAGATGGTCATGCATGTATTATTTATTTATAGTTTATTGTTTTTTTTCTTGGAATGTACAAAAGAATAGTGTGTTGTTTGTAGACACAAACTACAGCATAACTTAATTCCAAACAATGGAGTATGAAGAACAAGATCAAAGGCCAGAAGTGAACGGCACACCAGTGGCAGGCAACCATGTGCGGCCAGCGAGAAGGTTAGCAACTGTGAATTGTGATGCCTCAGTTGGGCTAGTTATACTATGAAAACCAGGCCATCGTACCCTGTTTCTGGTGGATGAACCGGGTCCAAAGTTCTTGAACTCTCCATAGTACAGAGTATTCAAAGCAAAATTAGAGTCACCCCATGGAGACCAACCCATTGGGTTCACCAAGCTATCTAAGAATGATTTCATGACAACAACTCTTGAGTAACGTTGCCAAGGCCGGCCCAAGAAGGTGTTGAACTTGCCAACATCGGGCCTGAAATCTGGGGCAGCCCTGATCTGAGAGTTATGAATTGAAAACCCAGTGTTTTGAAATGGGTCGTCTCGACCTTGAGCCGTGATCATGTTTGCTTGTCCATTTAAGGGCCTTCTTACAAGAATCACAGAGTTTTGAAAAACAACAGCGGCATTGCCAAATATGAAGTCAACTGTGCCATATATGTAACATCCTCTGTAAAATTGTCGCTGTGCATGGACCATGAGGGTGTCTTGATAACCTTCTATGGAACAGCGATAGAACACGGAGAGATCAGAGGCTGATCGAAGTGCCACCGCTTGACCCTTCAGAGGACCCGCTGTGTTTCTGAAGGTAATGTCTCTTGCAATGAAGTGAAGACCATCAATTCCTGAAATTTTATAATAATTCAGTTTCTTTTATTGCAAAAAGTGCTAGGGTTAACATAGTCTATAGGCTCCATAGTCCCAACAAGACACCAATGACAATCAACACCATGGGAAAATCAATAAAATCTCAATCAATATGCTTAAATCGCAAGCATTTCTCCATGTCATTATGCCAAGTCTGTGTTATACATGTCAAAAGGTACACGCATCACTGACTCTCTGGACAATATTTAAAAAGGCATCATTTACCTTCAGATACAAGTTCAAAAATCTATCCACCCCCATACTTTTGATAGTTTAAGTTTTTGGAATAAACTATTCATTAGATTCAGACTTTTTCATTTTATAAGTAAATTTTTTTAAAGAAACACAGAATTCACACTGCATCACATACCAAACAAAATAAGATTTGAAGAAGAATCCTTAAACATTCGAAACCTCAAATTTGACTTATAATAAAGAACAGGTAAGATGAATTGAACAAATAATCAAACAGATCACAGGAAAATATAAAAAAACTGAAGCAACCAATCAGTAAAACGAGAGAAAAAGATGAAATAGTAGTTGAGAGCAGTGACCTGCTGTTGCGGAACTATAGGTGGTATAGCCGACATTAACGCTCCTGCCACTTGTGATAATGGTATTTCTCATGCCATCGCCGACCAACATAAGGTTGTCGTTGGTCTTGTCAACCTCAATATTCTCTCTATAAACTCCTCTCTTGACATGTATAATAAACCTGCTCTTTAACCTTCTCCTGGCCGCGGCATTGATAGCAGATTGGACACTCTTGAAATGTCCCGAACCATCTTTGGCCACCACAAGATGTGCCCTTATTGGAGAAGACTGCAACAGCTTCCTCTCATTCATGGAAAACCAACATGGAAATCCATCTTCTGTATCTTCCGTGTAATGAACCGCTTCGTACTTCAGGAAAGCCCAGTTCACGAACAAGCCATTACTTATAATCTCGGACACGTTGCATCTCTCAGTGGGCGCCATGAAATCTTGAACTCCAAGTTCTAATGCCCCGTTCTGACATGTTTCGATGTTTGTGCGAGCCGTGCTGAGCCACGTTTGTGCATCAAAGGGCGAACAGCTTCTCTTCACGTGAAGGCCTTCAAGGGTGCGGTTAAGATGGAAAACGGTGTTGTCGTAGAGCTTCAAGCAATCACGGAACACTGGTTTCTGCTTCTTGGTGATCCCGTTTTGCCCCAACTCACGTGCTTTCCTTTGCATGACCACTGCTCTCTCCAACGCCAACTGAATAAGAATTGCGCGGAATTCAGATTTGTGTTTGAGTTTGTGATGGTAGTGACTTTGTTGCACGTAGAATTTGCATGGCTCGGGGTACGGGGTTTGGTTGCACCACCAATCTATGTTGTTGTTGGAATGTCTCCTTCTTGATGTTGCTATTGAGAAAACTGAGGAAAGTAATAACAATGCCAACAATGTCTTTCCCTTCATTGTCATTTTGGTGCTGTTTTTCTCTTTTCTTGTTTCGGGTGCCGGCAATTATATATTTCTTTCTTCCATGCACCCTCTTAGTAGCTTAGAGTGGGAGTTTCTCAATCATGTGCTCAGTGCCGACCCATTTTTGTTTCATTTTTTAATCTTTGATGTTACAGTAGACGCGACGCGATCTTGATTTTCTTCATGGATACGGAATCACGTGCATTCAGAGAGTACTACGGAATCAGCACGTGGCATGTGCCATCCCATCTTTCACGGTTTAAGGAATTAGTTATATGGACTTAGTGGAATACTACTGATTGGATGATTTGCAATGGAAAGAGACAAATTAAATGGCGTTGCGCACTTTTCTAGGAAGTTCAGTGTCCTGCCACAATCTCTTCGGGCTTATGCATAATAAGAATGAGAAGAAATGATGTAAGACTCATCAAAATCTGTGTTTGTTTGGCTCCCCCGTTGACAAAATCTCTGTTTGCGTTAAGTCCCCACAACACAAGACTCCAACCGTTTTGTGCTGCGCTGTCTGTCTACTTTCTTAAGTCTCACTAATAAAAAAGGGGAAACAGGTACTTGGCTTCAAATCAAAGCATAAGAAAAGAGAGATTAGTTTTGAATGATGGCGTTGTATTGTAGCTGTTCATAGAGAAAAAAAGAAATAAGTTGCTTAAATGCTAGCAGGATTGCTTATACGGCATACGGAAGAGTTGAGGGGTTGCTAGGAATCTCAAAGAGGCCACAGGTACCATTTCAGACTTCAGGTATAATTTTTTCGTACACAATTTCCAATTAACTACACAACGACTTGACCATAAATTTGGGATCTCCATTTTCACCTCGGGAAGGCTGGGGCAGAGTCTGATAAAATATCAATATCAGTATGCACGTCTCTAATTCCATATTCAACAAATATCATTATTTTACTCGTCCTTGGCTGCAGCATGTGGAAGTTGCTGCAAGGATCAAAATATTGGATGGAGTGTTAGTTGATGAACAGACTTTTGTACAATGTTACGTTTAAGCATGTCTTACTCAATTCCTTGCTTCAAAACATAAAATGTCAAAGAATTTCCTATTTGTGGTGTTAGAAATCATTAAATCCAAACAACACTATCGAGAAAGGCATTACCAAATCAACTTCTATGAGTGGAATAACTCATTTTTTCAATCTCTTGTTCTAGCCGCCAAGGTACTCAACCTAGTAATTACGTCTCATGTGAAGATAGATTACAGGCGAAAAATAATATATTTTCTGGTGTTTAATGCTGGAGAGGAAGGAAGTCAATGCCAAGTTGGAATTTGATCAAGCATGTTATGCGCTGATGCTGTACAACAAAGAATGTCTACTGTAATCACATTTTGAGGGACAAAATGGAAAATGAATGAATCAAACATCAAGCATTTCCGGTGACTCGAGAAAACAGGTGAGAGGTATCAGGATGTACAGCTGTCTAATAATCCAATCCTCTGTCAACCAGCATCATTCTAACTCTCTCCATGTCCTCTAATCTGCCTGCATTTTCATAAATCCCCATAAGAAGTACAAAGTTATGCTCATTGTCTGGTTCTAAATCAAAGAGTCGGTTTGCAGCAATCTCTCCTATAACTGCGTCTCCATGAAAATAGCAGGCATACAATAAAGCTCCCCAAAGCGTTGGAGCAGCAGCTTCAGAGCCCACTCTGCCTACTATGATGCTATAAGCCTTTTTAATCAATCCTGCTCTTCCATAAAGGTTAACCATACAACCATAATGTTCCATAATTGGTTTTATTTTATATTTTTCATACATTAGAGCAAACACTCTCTCTCCATCCTTCACTAAACCCAAATAGGCACAGGCTGATAGTATTGAAACAAACGTTATTTTATCTGGCTCAACACCAGCTTCCTCCATTTGCTCAAAAAAGGCAAGGGCCTCTCGGCTTTTGCAATGTGCAGATATTATAGAATTCCACGAAACAATATCCCTTTCTGGCATTAGATTGAATATCCATCGTGCCATTTGTAACCTACCATGACTCGAGTACATCACCATCAAGGAATTAGCAATGGATAGGTTCCACTCAAGTTCTCGCCGGATTATCCATCCATGAATTTGAACCCCGATACCTAGAGATGACACACCTGTAAGAATGGTGGATATGCTAACAGAATCAGGTTCACACCCTTCCAAAATCATTTGGCGGAAAATCATCATTGCCCCAACCTCAAGGCCATGATGAACATAAGCAGTGAGCATGGAATTCCACGAAATTGGGTCTCTATGAGGCATCTTGTCAAAGATTTTTCGAGCCTTTACAATGTCACCGCACTTAGAATACATGTCAACAAGTGCATTGAGGACAAAACCATCAGTGGCAAAGCCAGCACGAACCAAATGGCGATGCACTTCTTCCCCTACTCGAACAGACCCAATTCCCGCGCAAACTTTGAGAACCCTCGGGAATGTGAATAAGTCAGGTTCGACACCCTCTTCCACCATTTGGAAGTAGAGTGCAATGGCATCGTCGTAGAGGCCCAATTGGACATATCCTGAGATGAGTGAATTCCAGGGAAATGCAGAGGTCTCCCTCTTAGCCATTTGATCGAACAACTCGTGGGCTTCATCCACATACCCACAGGAAGCATATAACCTAAGAAGCTTGGAGGAGATGCCGACATTTCTATGCAACAGCGATGTTGGGATAAGGCGGTGGAGTTGGATACCGGGACGAATGGCTTGCAAGCGATAGCAGGTTTCTAATAAAGAGGCATAGATTTCAGGGTCGATTCTGATGCCCTTCTCAACAGAGGCTTCAAGGTCTGTGACGACTCGTTCAAGTGCTTCCAATCGGGTTTGCGGAGGAGGTCGACGATGGATAAGGAGTGGGGTTGATTTGGGTTTAGGGAAACAAAGAGCGTTTCGTTTCTGTTGGCTTTCCAATCGTCTCTGTTTCCAAGTTTTGATTTCGCTGTTTTTTTTCTTATTCTTCTTCTGGGAGCACAAGCTCATGCGATTTGGTGGGAGCCTCACTAGCGTTCCTATCATTCTAATTTCTTGGACCACAGATTGGGCATTTGGATATCATAATGATAATCGCAACTGCAATATACAACATATTTTCCACAGTTACTTCCATATCCACGCGCCTCATTAATATTCCAATTATATTATTCTAAAAATATTTTTTTATTACAATTCAGTCTAGCAAAACTGAGCCCTAAAAAATACAAAGCCAAGTGATAAAATCAATACTTTTGGACGTGACACAATCTCCTCAATTAATTTAAGCAACGAACCTGAGTAACTTAATCCAAATCCTAGAAAAAAAATAAGGAACTTCATCCTATCGTCGAGATTCATCGCTATTTCTAGTTTAAACACATTTTTTAACAAATCGTGTTATTTAACAAATTATACGTATAATTCCCGTCGAACATTATACGAGACATTAATATTCATCTTCTTACTCGTAATTATTATGGATTAAAAACATCGCGGCAAGGTCTTCAATTAGCTGTCAGTTGTAATTCATCAATTTAATCCCTCAAGTATTATCCCATATCCTAAACAGGCATAAAAATAATAAATTATATAAATAATCTTTAAAAATATTAAAAATTCATTAATTTAGTCTCTTCATTGATATATTTTACTAACATTGAAGACTAATTAGATGATTTTTTATACTTGAGACTATTTAGTATAATTTAAAGAGCGTGATGATTACTTATATAATTTGTTTAGCTTAAAGGCTATTTAAGAGAGAAAATTATTTTAGGGATGAAATTTATGATTTATTCTCACTGCGAGACCAACTTGCTCGCAGTATGTGAGATGATAGAAGTCAGGATCTAGTCCAAGTGTCCAACACCTCAAAAGGTCCGACTGACATACACAATTCGACTTATTGTTACAAAACAAACGGTACTTAATCGCATACTCTGCGCTTTATAAGCAATTCCTATGCTGTTGGAGACAGTTTAGCTACACACCCATAGGCCTTTCTCTCGAGGGCATAACGCATAAGCAGTTTATTGCTCGCTAGGCATTATAAGGAGGAACGGAAAAAAGGCAACAAGAACCAATCTCCTTTTAATGGTGGGCATATAAATATCAATCTGAAATACTTTTGCGGATGAGTTTAGAGCTATCAAATTCCAAAGACAAGCAGCCAGGAATTTGGATCTGATCCTCTAATCAACTGATAACTATGTTGGGTTCCCACTGAATCCAAAATTTAGCCAACTTCACAGTGCTCTCAGCTAAATCCAACAGCTTTCATTTAGTCTCGTGCTGCATACAATGATGCAAGTCATTAGAGCTATTAAAAAACAAAATACAATATTTTAATCCCCAGATAGAGGGAAGCCAAAGTGGACATGAAATTCAAAATTACATCTACCCAGAATATACGATGTTTTAGATTTCTCCTAGTTAAAAGGTTCAAGCTTCACTAAATAAAAAAGCCATGCCTAACAAAGCACAGCATGCCGATGGCTGTCATGCTCCCAGTAAATGACTTCAAATCCATTTACCAATAGAGAACTTTTGGTTAGCATGACCATGAAGAGACAATTGTGTGCGGATCATTATGCTTCATACGCATTTAACTAACGTTATATAAATAACAACAACTAATAAATATATACCTCGAACACCTCAAAAATTGGCCGAACTTGCTCAAATATTTCATCCACTGTTCCCACTGCATTGATCTGCAAAGATTAGCTTGTCATATAATTGAGGTATAATTCATGTAGGGTACAAATTAAAGGCAAAACCAAAATCAGTGAGTTAAGCAAGAAAGGCATAAAATAATTTGACCACAGGCTGATTATTTATTTATTTTTCAAATAATTTACATTGCATACACATCCTATCCTTGTATAAAGTTAAACCCAAGGCCAATCATCATTCAAGTTAAACCCACAAATGACTATCCTGTGAAACTTCCCAATCAGAAGAACTAGGATCACGCACTTTCAAGGTAAGTAAATAAAAAACCTCTAAAAAATGATAAACAGAAATCATTTCAATTTTTGTGTAACTTGTCATGTTGCGATTCTCTAAATAAGGCTTGTTCTCCAAAATCCAATTGAACATTAAAACTAAATATAGTTACCCTGTAAAGTTTCCCTTTCTTAGCATAATAATCAATAACGGGAAGATTTAAAGCCTCAAATACTTTAAGACGATTCTTCATTGTATCTATGTTGTCATCAATTCGACCCTGCAATAAAATGTGTATGCGTCAAACAGAAGTTTGTAATCAGCTGCTAAAGTCAAATCTCCACGAATTTAATGGGACCTCATTCCGGCTCAGCACGCGATTCACCATCTCTTCTTCAGGGCAATCAAAGAAAAGTACAAAACGTGGTTCTGCTCCAATCTGCATAATGAAGAGTGTGTTTTAGTCAAAAGAATACAGGAAAGAATTTAGATGGGATTACTATTTTGTTCTAATACCCTTAAAAACAATTTTCTACCATGACAATTTACTTTGTTCATCTACAGATATTGTCATTTGAAAACATTCAATGCAGAGAATGAGACAAATGTATGGTAAATTAAATGCATGGATAAACGGGTACTGGTGCAGAAATAACTCAAGTACTATATCAATTTATCATTAGAATAAGAGGCCAAAGGATTGGGGGCATAACTTCCTTCAGCTCAAATTGAAAAGAAGCAAGGTTAAAATTCAAACTTACAATTTGTTCAAAAGCTATGCGGTTCTCCTCGCTTCTAGGGAAACCATCAATAAGAAACTTTTGCTTGTCACTAGATTCCATCTCTCTTAGAATCAATTTGACAGTAACTTCTGATGGAACAATTTTTCCTTCACTGATTGTATTCAGAATCATTGAGCTGTTTTGGTGTTTTTAATGTTAAAATTCCAAAGATGCACCAATAAAACAAAAAAATAATTAGGATAAGACAACATCACCCATATTTACTATCAGAAATCATCTCCCTTCTCAATAGGTCTCCAGCACTCAGATGCTTAAATCCAAAGGTTTCAACAATTTTTGCACATTGTGTACCTTTTCCACTACCAGGGCCTCCTGAGAGAAGAACAATTTTAATTATCATTTATTTAAGGCAAACCCCAAAAATTAAAAAAAGGTATGGATAGCATCATTAATAACTTGAGGCACTTCTATTAAATACACTACATCAATAGAGCCCAACAGTTTTACTCGGATGACATAATGTGAAAGACGAAATAAATAAATATAAGATTCTCAGCTTAGCAATTGTCACCAAGTTTATATGCATGATCCATCCTTCTGCCAAATAAGAGTATACATTACCTTTTTTATCATCCCCTTTCAAGCAGAAATATATATAGTCTATCAGAGTATACATTGTATTTTAAAACTCACAATCAAACATTCTTGTACTTGACCGATTCATTTTAGGTTAATACAGTTTTCTTTCAAGCTTCAAGATGGACCAAACTTAGTCATCATGACATTTTAAAGCTATGCCCATTTCTATCACACATATTTTTTTACTACCATTGACACAATATCTAGCTAGAGCATGAGAAAAATCAATCAAGTAAATTTTTTGAACATCTCAGTTATTCTACGAAATTTGTATGCACGACTTCCACTTACTTTGGACCATTAATAAGCTTCTCAGTATGATAGAGACAAAGAACTGAACGTCTAAACATCCAAAATGCCTCAGCTCTAAGACATCCTTGATCAGGCTTTAAAGAATACAATAAACATGCATAAGCTTAAGTTCTATATATGGGTGTTGACATTCCATTAAATTGTACAATAAGAGCCTTATCAACCTCATCAGTGAACCTTCCAGTGTTAAATATGAATACAAGCCATCCATATACACTGCTAACTGTAAGCATAGAAAGACAAGATATGCAGAGCGGCGCGGAATTCAAACTTTGAGGCATTCACAAAATTAGTATTTGGTTTTCCACTCAATTACCACAGTTGTAATGGCATAAGACTTGCATCTGATTTGACAGCAATTTTGTGAACAATTTAATAAATGTGTGATTACCTAAAACAAAAGTTACAAGCGGAGCTACTTGTTTGGGGGAAATCCCACCCTTTTCCTGCATTGAAGGGAACAAAGAAACAAGGTGATCATTACATATTAAACTCCAGACGATGATATGAAAAAACTGTAAGGTCTCCGGTAGCTTGGTTATATAAATATGAATGAGAGAATGTGATACAAGAACTGAAGCGGCACAGTAGAGAAGAAAAGGAAAGTGTGAATTGGAAGGAATCTGTGATCCAGAAGCAGAACCGTTTATGCAACACAAGACAATGAACCCTAGAAGAAGAAGAAGAAGAGAAGAAGAAGAAGAAGAAGAAGAAGAGGAGGAGGAGGAGGAGGAGATGATAACTTAAAAAGCAGTTTGAGAGCAGCGCAGCATGTAAGAAGAAATGTTGGTCGTAAATACCTGGAAGCGCGTGTGGAAGGGGCATCGAGTGGTGAATGTTTGGGAAAGCGAAGCGTTGTGTTTAGGAAGTTCCTGGAACGGAGAATAATATGAAAATCCAAATCGAAATCCAAACAAAGTAGGTCAGCGTCAGAATATGAATATATTAAGAGAGAAAGGAAAGTAGGATATGATTCTATTACCAGCAGACGAAGAAAAAGGGATGATTTGGTTGCGCGTCTCCACATTTCTGTTTCTGATTTTCTATTTGATTATTAATCAGGGTTTATGAAAGGGTAATGAGTTAAGGTGACGATGATGTCAAGGAAGAGAGATGTTACGCGAAGCAAACAAGGGACACGAGAATGAGTACGCACATTTTCTCCCAGCTTCCCTCCACTGATGCTATGCTCTGCTCTGCCCTGCCAATACTATTTCTTTTTCTTTTAAAACAATAATAATAATAATAATAATAATAATAATAATAATAATAATAATAATAATAATAGTTATACCCACCTCAACCCCGATCTCCCCTGCGCTTCACAACATTTCCGCACCACAGTTTCCCACGTTCATTACATACCTTATTCTCAATTACTTAGATTTACAACTTTGCTCAATGCAACAACTCCAGAGGACAAAAGGATGATAAATGTACCAGGAAAGTATACAGCATTAGCATGTGTGCGCGCACTTGGGTGTTAGGTACGCCAGCGTTGATTCCCAAATTGATTTACCCCCCTTTTATGACTAATTTCCACTTGTTAGAAGCTGCAAGTAGAACCACCAATGCTCTTATATTTCTAATCGCCAACTCAACTTAATTCTATGGTTATTTTCTGTTTTGAAACTATTTTTTACAAGTGTTATTCATTTGGATGCTTTCATTATTTTCAAAAGGATTGATTTTAAACTATTTTACTTAATTAAATTCATCTTAATTACATTTTATGCAATTGTAATACAAAACTAATTATTGTTAGATCTAATTACTCATTTAGTTCGTATACTTATACAAATTTTAATTTTTTTATTTCAAACCTAAAAATAATCTATTTTAGTTTTTGTTCATAATATTTAATTTCTATCAAAGTCATCTATTTTATAAATATTATTTGTGTATCTTATTTAGTCTCTAGCATTTAAATATGAAAAGAATTAAAAGAAATAAAAAATAACATATTTTTTTAAAATTAAAAAGTATTCTATAAATCAAATAACTATTTATTATACATCAAGTATTACTGTGGAGCAAAGTTATCGATGATTTCATAAGATAAACTTTATAAATAATACTATTAAGTGTATTTAGATTTCTTAAAAATAAGAAATCTTCATATCAAAGGATATAATATTTAATTTTATCAATATTTTTTCATCATGATTTTTTATTTACTCGCAACACTATATTATGATTGAAACAATCAGAGCAATATAAATATTTAAATTTTTTTTCATAATTATTTCATCGAACCACTTATGAAAATAAACAAATAAAAAGAAGAAAGAATAGATTTTTTAAATATTATTAAAAAAATTATAATAGAGTAAAATTAATAATAAATTACTTAACAATAATATATCATCATAAATTCTTATTTTTTAATTTTTTAAGATAAAAAAATAACTCATTGAGTTATTCCTGAGATGGTTAATAGACCCTTAAAAAACTAAACATTCAGCAGATTACATAAGAGGAATAAATAAAAGGTAGAAAGAAAAAATAATAAAGAATGTGATGTGATGAAATATAATAATCAATAACCCAAAATTTTTGTCGTTAATGTTTCTCTAATCGTTAACAAGACACTGTTTACCGAGGCAAAAAGATAGAAGAATACTACTACTAGTACTCTCAATCTACCAAATCCTAAAAGAAATAATTGTCATTCTAAACTGAAAGTGACAAAAGATAAGAAAAACCAACTATCGGCCATGTGGTCTTGCATCTAAAATCTTCTCAATACAGTGGTAATAGATACACGACAGTAGAGTGAGTATTAAACATGCCCATGCTTTTTTACTCCGGAAATCCAACTATTTGAGCTTCTCCTTGATGATGGTGATATATATAACCCTTTGGCAATGTCATGAAATCATTATTTTCTGATTCCCTGGAGTCATTGAGTTGATTCCCTGGAGTTCTTAATCACCAAATCATAATTGATAGAAGCTAGCTGAGACAAGTTCTGTAAGAAAACAAGCAATAAAAGAATTTTCTTTAATCCACATGAAAAAGTACAAAATTATTTTTATATGGATTTCTGCAAAAGTTATGCGATACGAGAGTCTAGCTACTTTGATCGTTGTACTTCAATGTTGAAGTTTAGGGGAAGGTTTATATTTCTTCTTTTGGGCCAGGTTTCAATGCTTAAACCTTTGGCCTATTCATGAGCATTTTCACTTCCCCGACCCCCAGCAAATTTGAACTCAAGAAAGCAAATAAGCAACCACCTCCTTTTCCCTTGCAATCTAAACCAGCATCCAATGGCAAAGCCAGGATAAGTAACTAAAGGGGGGGTGTTTAAAAAAGAGACAGAAAAGGCATTTTCGTGGAACTTGTATTATTAATATATCATACTATCAATATACCATATTATAATTTTCATGGAACTTGTATTCACATGTTGATGTTATGTTATACAAAAACAATGAAAAAAATTAACTTACAACATAATTATAATCCTTCATGAGTACATAAAAAAAAAAGAAAAAAGTAACTTAAAGTTACTAAAAAATAAATTACTTTTTAACAATATTTTTTAAGCACCAACAAACTGACCCTACTATATTGACAACAAATGGAATATTTTGTCCCTAGCATAACGAAATAATGACAAGAGAACATCAGGCATAGCAAGTATTACCTTGAATGAGAAATTACTAAATGAGTACTGCACCTCAAGAGGTGGACCTCCGAACTCTGCTAAACTACCACATTCATCACCCTGCTTAACAAGTTCGAAGTATAAATAGTCAGAAAAAATATGGTCAAACGTTGTCAGAAAAATATAACAGATAAATTTTCTGTTACACAACAAATTAGAAATTAATTTAAATTAATATAAAAAGGGGAGAAAAAAGGATATTGATATGGACAAACTTGGTAAACTGATTCTTTCATATGTAATGCAGATTCATATTTTATGTTCAAACAAATGGAAACTTCTAAAAAGCTAAAGTAGTTTATAGCGCATGGATACTGAAAATAGAAAGTATTCTTACATCTTCATCTAACAAATCACTGCCTGAACCACTGCTGCATGTTTCAGTAATCTCATCAAAATCACTACCTCCGAGACAATGTTCGTCCTCGGGATTCCAAATGTACCGGCTCATAAAATAACTCGTATCAAGAGTTTCAGCCGATGGAATGAACATAGCCTACAGAAAATCAGAGTAGATCCCGAGTGACAAAACAAAAGATATGGCACAAACATATCAAAGCTCTAATAAAATTAGAAAGAACCTTCTGCCTTGCTAGTGTATCCCAATTAATATCTTTGAAGAAGGCGTGGCGTTTTACCTGCCAGAAAAATTATATTTATGGTTGTCTTCTACCATACATAATTTGCAACTTGGAAGTACTAAGCAATAAATAACTCACTTCTGTTGCTCCTGTTGCGCCTAATCTTTGGACTGGATTTTCGTTCAGTAATCTAAAAGAGAATAGACTGTCAGCCATAACCAACATGAAAGGAATCACAATATTAGCAACTTAAATTGCATAAATCGTTTTGAGGTATCATAGAAATGAAAAACACTAAAAGCAAATGTCTATCCTGTTTCATTAACAGCATGTTCACTCAAACTGATCTTACTTGTCCTGCCAGATTATGCCAATTTTGAAAGCCATTACTTCCATATATCTTGGCTTATACAGGTGTTTTACACCATTTGATCCTTGTGGAAGTTTCGGATATTTTCCATTTTCCATTTTTTCACAGTGAACATGCTAAAAACTGTAAAACAATTAATGTACACGATTTTTACTATGATCATAATTTTTCCAAAGAGTACACCAACAGCGCCAATTTTTTCTTATCACCAAAAGATTCACTACAAATCATTCTTCACTGGGATTTTGATTTTTAGGGTTAGGATTTAATTTGGGAAATACAAATAGAATCCATATTACTTTTGTAATTCATACGGTAGCCCTGCTAAAATGCACCTCTACTTTGGTAATGCTTACTTGTTTATCAAATCATATGCTTCAAAGCTGATCTCATCAGGAATTCTGGGCCATTGTATATCTCTATTAATTATGTTATCGAAAATTTGCTGCAAAACAAGTATCAATGAGAAAGTGTTCAGATAATCATCCAATTTCCAAATAATTAAAAAAAAAATAAAAAAAAATATATATATATATATATAGAGAGAGAGAGAGAGAGAGAGAGACCTATTTAAGTTCCAATAAATTCATAGGAATACATATGATGAACATTCACAAAAACATAATCATGCAAAGAGCATTGAGCAAAAAGAAAAATATGGGCGTCCATGACCAATGACCTGATGAAAAGGCTGTAGCAACTGTTACACAATGAAGCACAAAACCGTGGAAGTAAATGCAAATAGCTACAAACAGACAGGACCTTATCCAGATTATAAGTACCATCAAAGCACAAAATGCTGTGTCAGAGGGGGCTCCTGAACTCCTATTGTGTATCACGCATAATAAGATGACCTAAATATTCAATATTCCAAACCCTGATACTATTAATTCAAAACTGTCATTGTACTCAATCAAGAATCATAAAATGCAACTTATAAGCGAGTAAGACTTGCATGAGAAATAGTGACCATATTCCACAGGAACCTTAAAACTTTAATTGATTGAGGCACATTCTTATGGCATAGACATTGAACTAGGTTTCTACTAAAATAAAGGCTTCCTGATTGATATGACCGTGACCAACAGATTGATTGGTATACACATTGCACAGAGCATCAGTCTTATCTATATTAAATATTTTAACAATATGGGTAATGACGAGGATTGGAATGAATTCAATGTACTGATACAATCTGACAGGGCACCCCAATATCAGAGGAATAAGCTTGATGATCAAAGGGTTTTATCAGGTAAATACAAATAGAGGGTTTAGTATCAGGTTACCTGGTTGCTGAATCTTAACTCTACGAATAATGAGATAATTTTATAATTTGTGTTTGAGTCTTACTTGGTCTAGCAGATGTATTGGCATTAGTTTTGAGAGGTTTCCATTATTTCATTCAGTTATTTAGATTTTCATTTCATGTTTATTAATGGTTGATAGGGTACTTTAAGTTTTGGACCTCAGTGATCCAAAGTTTTGAATACTCTTGAAAGAAACATTTCTGCTAGGCGCGTCATGTGTACAGACGACAGGATATAGGTGTGAGTTCACCCCCTTCCCAAGGCAAATGCGTGATTGCAGTTTGAATTTAACAATCTTCATCTTATACGCAAGATTACTCAATTGTCAAAGTGATGAAATTAACAATTAATAATATATATGCATATGTATAACTAAGAATTTTTGCTAGTCTCCTTTAATTTGTTAGTTGTATAAATATAACATAGAAAAGTATACTTAATGGATGATAAACCGATTGCCCCATATGACCTTAGTAATTAATTATGTATTTAGTCACATATGACGCATGTGATATTAGTTATAAAATTGGCTTATGTATTTAATAACTTGTTTGTAAATTTCTTAAGTTACTTACTGAGTTCAAAGGCCAGCCCTCACCCTGGACTATGACAATATCTCCTAAAGAGGCTTCTGATGTGTACCAGCGCATGATGCTCAGGAACATTTAAAGCGGGGGGGTCCTCTCTTCATCTCGATCCTATGCACTATGATTTTTTCTTTTCATCACCACATGTTTACACACGGGACTTGACGTCATAAAATTGGCATATTGCTGAAACCCAAATCATTCACCTTTCCCGAATTCCTATAAAACCTTAGCGTTACTGCTTGTTATTGGGGTGTTAAAATTTCATATGACCGTAAGGAGGTAGGTGTAAAATTTCCATATGTCAAATTCATGTGAAATTTGAACAAAAGCTGTTTGTAGCCATAGGTTTGCTTGTCGCCTTTTGATATGAGGTCACAAGTTCAAATCTTAGAAACAGCTTATTCACTTGCAGCCGTAAGGCTAAGTGCATTACCTTCTCCATACCCTAATAAGTGTTCATTCATTTCCAGTTTGTTGAGTCTTATCACATTACCACAACATCGAGCTTATTATTCAGTTGGCAAATTGTGATATAAAAAAATGCATGAGTTATGATATACTAAAACAAAAGTATCCACAACAATATAAATGAGGAAAAAAAAAAACTTCACAAAATGCTGTGAAGCGCTTGCCATAATTTATAATTAACTAGCATATATGTGCCCATATGGCATATCAGTTGATAAATATGGTGGCTATAAAAGTAAACAAATCACAGAGAATTGACTTAGAAATGATTAAGCAAGGCTAGAAGATTTACAAAGATGTTCTATTAGACCTAAGTGAATGGGCAATGGAATTTCCTGTGGGGGATAACCGCCCACCGTACAAACACAACTCCATGTTAAAGATGAGAGAGAAGACATTATGAAGTTATACGATGTTCCACTTTAAGCCTATAAGTATTTTAAATGTGATTCCAACAACCATAGAAAATGAGAACGCTCTCACATAGTTTTCCTTTATTAGTTAAGGTTTGTTAGGACCAATATCTTTATAAGAATTAAAAAGTTAAATAAATAAATATATAAAATAGAATTAACTTTTTTACAAATTAAAATTAACTCATGCATAAATTAATTTTATCTTATAAAAAAAAATCAGTTATATTTTTTTTTATATCTTTCTCTTTTAAAAAAAGTTATGCAAAAACTCGTCTGAACATAATTTTATAATTACCAGAGTTATCATATCACAAGAAGCTACCTGTGGATGTTCAGCATTAAATGGTGGAATACCCACAAGAAGCTCATATAGTATGACACCCACAGACCACCAATCAGCGGTTACACCTACAAGCAATCGTATACAAGAATGAAAATCATATAGAATAGTTTTGAAAAACACAATAAATAAATTATTTATACAAAAAAAGTATCAAATAAAAGCATTTTTCGTATAAGATGTACTGTTTAATCAGCGGATAAACTGCAAACCATGTCCCATGCCAAGAAGTATTTCAGGTGCCAAGTAATCCGGGGTGCCAACTACTGATTGTCTTTGACGCTCTTCCCTTTTTGAAGAATGACGAGGTTTTGGTTCATCGTCTCCTAGGAAACCACTGGCGGAAAATGAGGGCGCTGATAAATCATCTGTGCTGTTTATAAGACCAACCTTAGAGAGCCCAAAATCTGTCAACTGTAATTACACAAATTAAGCAGTTAGCAGTGATAAATAATATTTTCTTTGGAATATTGTCTGACGATTAATGACACAGTTTGATATAAACAACGCTGAAAAATAAGGATACTAAAAAAGTAGCTTCCAAATTAGCCCACGACTCACAGCATAACCCTTGGAGACTGGAGCAATAAACCAGTTGCCTATAAACTTGTGCTCGTTCAATTCAACCAACATAGGATGGTTCCATTATACCCCAAACATGAGAGGGGACTGCGGTGAAAGGTCAGTTGGTAGTTATATTAGTAATTCATTAGTGATATTCAAAGAAATACATGGGGTTAGGTTGAAAAGAATGGGAACGGACGTGCAGTTGATTAGGCACATCAAGGGTGAATATACGTTAGCAGACTAGTAGCCGTATAGGAAGGGGGATTGAGAGGGATTTTATCATATCATTTATGAGAGGTTTGAGTCCTGTGGACAATGGGTGGGATGTGAATACCCTCGAAGTTCTACAGGTTAAACAGTGTTCTTTTTGTAATCCTGATCCAGATTCTACGAACCAATATCAGAGCTTGATCTTGGAGTTGTTGGGAGATGTTGTGAAGATGTCCCAGAGATTTATTCGGAGATTTGACGGAAGGAGGGCCTGTTGGTGGCTGATCAAGGTAGACAATATCTTGAGGCCGATTGGGTTCATGAAGATACGAAACTATTGTGGGTTATGTGGTCATTAAAAGGACAGGGTATCAAATGGTGGGTTTCTTGTAAGGAGAACAAATGGAATGCAACCTTACGGACTTTCCAGAAGACAGTACTCAAGAAATCCAACGTGAAGTTTGGATTTGACCAAAGGTTCATAAACGGGGAGCAAGAAAATAGAAGCTGAGGAGAAGTTCAAGAGGAAAGCCAAGAGGCTAACGATGAAACTCACCAAGAGAACATAACGAAAGAGGAAAAATCGGAGAGAGGAGACACTTACTTTCTCGTAAACATTCATTTAACTACTCATTTTAATAATATAATATTAATAAAACTTTGAAATTTATAAATTCATTATTATTAACAGTGCGTTGCCTTCCAAACACTGCTCTATCGAATGATATGGGATGATGAGTGGAGTATGTAATTGTTTGGTTCTTCTCCTTTAATTTATATTTAGATTTTGAGGACGAGTTCCCAAAGTGCTTAGGTAATTATCAAGTGCCATCAAATGAAGTGCCGAGTAAAAGCCGCTTGGTTCTTGTGATCACGATGCCCTAGAAGAGATAACACAAAGATGAGTCTATTAACATGAGGGAGAGCCGAGGGAGGGTATATTAACATCCCATGGTAGCTTACTGTGAGTAAAGTACCTATTGTAATGAAGCAATTAAACATTGTCTCCCTTTAAGCAAATTTTGAGAGGTAAATTTAGCTATTTTCATTATTTAAATATGATATCAAAGCCTACTATAGTCTTAACTAGTGTGTCCCACAGGTCATAAAATTTTTGTAATCCTATATACTTTATGAACAAAGTGTAGTCGTACACATGAAGGACTTCGAAAACACCCCAAATGTATAAACTTTATGGCCCAGAAATAGAGTTAGACAATGACTTGGACAATTCTCTCCCCTTGAGTTAGCTTTTAAGATTTAATCCATATCCATTCATCCAATCCATTCCTAGAAATTGACACATAAAAGTTCAGGAAGAACTAAAATTTAGGCAAATGTTCAGTCCCAAATCATGTACACATAAATACCAAATTCGTAAAATAATTTATTAACATCATTAAGAGCTTAATAAAATGGTTCTTTGAAGTTCTGTTTTCAGGTAAAATTGCAATATGAAGGGGATATAAAGAGACTTCATTCCATATAAATGGGTAAAAGAGATTAACAACGAAGAGAGAAATCATGTTCAGGTGTCCTTCTTCAATTGGAGGGATAAGGAAGAGTAAAGGTGATTTGAATTCATTATGCTGACCTTAATATGACCATCTTGGCCAATCAGTAAGTTATCTGGCTTCAAATCTCTGTGAATCACATTCAAGGAATGCAAATACTCCAATGCAAGAACCTGTTGAGCGACCAAAAAGATAGAGGGAAAAGGATAAAGAACATAAACACAATTGTGGAGGAACTTACGAGTATCCTGGTGAATAAACTACCAAAACACAGAAGCTAGTGTGCTTACAACTTCTGCAATATATACACGAGCCATATCTTCATCTAAGCAACCTAGATTTCTCAACATTGAATAAAGATCTCCACCATTCAAATACTCCATGACTAGATAAAGATTTTCTCGACATGTGAAAGAGTAGAAAAATCGGACCTGTTCATCATAGATTTGACCAATGTATCAATATGCAACAAATTCATAAGTGAACTACGTTCCAAGTATGCTTACCACAAAAGGATTTCGAACAGATATAAGGATGTCTCTCTCTGCCAAGATACTTTGAACTGCATTTTTACGGATCATATCTGCTTTTTTCAGAACCTTCAAAATATAAAAAAAATAGCTACAATCATTCTAAGTAATCAGTAGTAATTTGGCAGAGACCTTTCAGTAGTTTCTTTAGTCATCAATAGCCAATTGGAGGTGCTCGACAAAAGAATGCTCATACAATTTTACATCTTTAAAAGGGATATTATATTATTAAGAATTTTAAAGACTATTTTGGTATAAAAAAAGTCTTACACATTTTGAAAACTACGAAGATTGCTATAATTTATTATTTTTTTAAAAGACTTCTACGATTTAAATTTTGTATGTTGAATTTTAATTGATTCATTCTAAGAATTCACAACATCTGAGAAGACTTAATAGATTTAAGTTGGGAAAATCAATCCAAATTTTCAAACGGTAATGAAAGCAAGTTATCTAATAATATTGAAAATGAAAATTAATTTATTAATTGGAAACTTTAGAAATTCATCGTAATAACATTATTTATAAAGAAAATTATCAAGTAATGCACGTCAATGTCTTTATTGAAGAGAATATATTATGTGATGTAAATAAAATGTCTGACATTTAACGTGACAAGATAAAGAATCGAGAAAGTCTCAATAGTTTAAATGAGATTGTTTCATCCATGTTATTTTTATACATCTTACTAAAAAGTCATCTATTTTTTAATATCTGAATTTTTTTTATAAATTCTAATTTTAATTAAATATTCATAGATTCCGTTACTTTCCGTAAAAAAAAGTCCTAATTGTCCTAATTAATTATCACGAGAATTATTTGTATCATTTAAAAGTTTTGATTAAATACATAGAACATTTTTATTTAAAAAAAAAACATTTAAAACCATAATTCAGTGCGCCGCTTAACAGCATAATTTATTGAATGACTATTTATCTTAGCCTTTTTCTGCAAAGAAATCGTTTTATTTGATAAGCAAACTAACCTTTATAGCAAATAAATCACCGGTTGCCCTTTTTCGGGTAAGAAAAACTCGTCCAAATGCACCCCTACTTATGGGTTTTATTATTTCGAAGTCTTCAATAGAGGTTCGGTCCTTGGAACAAGTATTGATAGGGCTAGCACGAAGGCTACGAACTGTATCATCTTCTACTGAACTCTCTTCATCAACCACGCTATTTGATGAGTCCACCTTTTCATCTTCTATCTGCCCACAAAGAGAGATATATTTCTCCCTGCAAAATGAAGTAGCAGATTCAAGGTTAGGTTTAAGCATCATGCCAGTACCAAAAAATATAGCAGAAGAAAAGGGAAAAGATGGTATATTTCAGTTTAATTTCAATAACAGTGGTTCTATAAAAATGCTAGCAAAATCTTACAGAAACTTTTGAAATAGAGTAAAAAAGTAAGTTAATGTACTAGAGCAAAACATAGAAGTCCTAAGTGCTCACTGCAAAAGTTTCTCAATTCGTCGTCCAAAAGTCTCCACAATAAGTGCATCCACTTTTCTGTCTTGAATGGCATATTTCAGGTCTTCTAAGCGATCAAGCATATACTCCAGAGCACTGTAGTCACAGTTGTTCACATTTGCAACAGCACGGGCTATTTCAACTAGCTTGCTTATCTGCAATTTGACACTAGTTATCAATATCAAAATTCAAAAAATAAATCTGAAGAAAATGTAACGAAGGATTACATGTAGATAATATATTTTTATCTATTGTAACGTTTCTGTGTGCAACATTATAAATGAAGAATGACAACTACTGGTAAGTGTATGTATACCTGCTCACAACTTTCAAGTTCAGACAATGTTCTTCGTCCACTTAGTAACATTTCTACCTGAGTGGTTCGTGGTGTTACCAATGGTGATCTTGGTGTCAAACTTCCAGCTGAAGATACCTTTGTTCCCTGATCAGGTTTTAAGCAGATGCGTGCTTCGCATGATATTCTGGGTGAAAGATTCAGATCATCCATGACAAAATTATTGTCAGGCTCCGTAGTAGAGTCGAGCATGTCTTCAGAGAATCTACAAGTCAGGTTATTTCTATCTAGAGATAAATCGTTGAACTCTTCAAGCACACTTGATGTGGCGAGGTCAAAGCTTTCTCCGGGAGTATCAGTGCTTTTCGGTGTGCTTTTTGGTGTCCAGGATTCCAGTATCCTTTCAATGGTTTCAGAAACTCGGTCAAGCCGTTCATTTACTGTTAAACCTTTCAAATCACATCTATCCGCAATTGTGCATATTCTTGAGTGCTCCTCCACATGCACAATCGGTATTTCAACCTCACAAATTCTGCATATCATTGAATCCTCGTACGTAAGATTTTGCTGGTCTCCCCAAAATCCCCAAGAAACCTTTCGCGTTCTTGTTGATGATTGTGGATGTTCAGGGTGACAAGAGGAAGTTTCCAAATTTTCAGCATTTTCATCTTTGACTACCAAGTGATCCATTTCGCCTTTGGAAGGGGAATCTACAGCATCTTGACTTTTTAGCTTTTTGTCAGCAACAGATGGAAACTTTCTCCAAGAAGACATCCTATAGTTGCCAGAAGGTGATTCAATGCTCTTGTCTGTAGCAACCTCCTTATTGTCAATCGCAACACTTACTTGTTGGTCAGCTTGACTCTGTGTTGTTATCAGTTTGTCTTTCTCTTTACCATGTGGCATATTTAACTGTTTCTCATCCATCTCATGTCCATCGGGTGGAATACTTGAACACTGCTCGGCAGCCTTCAAAATTTGCTCATGATAGACCCCAAGGTCGCTGAGTTGATGAAGACCAAGAATGTGATCTTGTTCATACCCGCTTTCCTTCTGGAATTGCACTAAGCGTGTACAACGAGTGAGAATGAACAGTAGGCGTGTATGAGCTTGCTTGAGTATCCCCACCGGTAATTCTTGACGTTTGTCATCTAGATTTTGAACAATAGATTCGCATTTGATCCAAAACTGGGTAGGAGACATCTTTGCACAATGTTGAGCAACAACCAACAGATCCTCTAACCTCTCTCTCCATTCACGATCACACAGTGAGTTTTTTTCAAGAATGCCCACCAAATCTCCAGCGAAACCACCCAAGTCAGAATCAACTTCTTCCTTTAATTTTTCAAACTTAGCTCTAATAGCCGCCATGACTTCCTGCAACATTTGATTTTTGGGAAAACAAGTGTTGGAAGAAATTTATTGTATTTTAAATGAATAAACAGTAACATGAAACTTTAATAAGTTAAAGGGAGAGTACCTCCATGTGGCCAAAGGCACGATGTTTCCAGATTGGAAATGGTCTGACTCCCTTGGAGTTGAGTTCATGGGAAAAGCTTTTAATATCAGGGTTTCTCCTTCTGCGTCCACTGGTAAGTCGCAATATTTCCTGAAAACGTGGGGATTGCATTTCTTTGGCGAAAGCTGCATGATTACCCTGTGTAAAACACATGCAATGAACCTGAGCTACCTACATTTCTCCAACTATTGATCATAAAAAGGAAACAGTTAAATAGGAAAAACTAGTGATTAAGTAAATATTATTATGCACAATAATAATAGTATCCATCACCTCCAGCACGGGAATGAGTTGCGAAGGAGTTCTGAGCGATTTGGATTGATTCAAATGAACTTTTTCCCCTAAAAGAAAAACGAAATTAGCAACAGCCAGCACGAAATAATCACTAACCATTTGGCTAATTCCCGAATAGGAAATGAAAATAAAATTGAGGCGAGATTTAACAATAATTGAATTTTGAAACCTAAATAAAAGAGGAGAATGTGCAGAGGGAAGTGAGGGGAAATGCAGACCTAGTTCTCTCTTTGAATGGGAATTAGGTTTGGATCTAAATCTGGCGTCATTGATAGTGACAGCATTCTGTGTGAGGAAGGAAGGAGCGCCAACAGAGGAGGAATAGCGAAGAGGCGAAGAGGAAGAACGCGTTCGAATGTGATTCAGCCCTAAAGAAGACGCTAGCAAGATGGAAGAAACATCACCGCATTCACCTTCTTCTTCTTCTTCTTCTCCTTCCTCTTCCTGATCTTCATTGCCTAACTTACTCCGTCGAATCGGAATGGGCAGGATCTTCTTGAGCTTAGCTCTGCCGGCGAACGAAAAAGGCATCCCCGGCGCGGGATCACCTTGGTCAGGTTTGAGGAAAGAATGTGGCTGCGGCGGAGGGACGGACGACATGGAGGGTGATAAGTTTGGGATTCTTCATGGCATTGTGAGTGTGTGTGGTGTGAGAGAGTGAAGAGAGAGATTTGAAAGAAGAAAATATGAATGGAAAGGATCAATGGTGTGTGGGAGGGATGAGATGAGAAATTCACGGGAAGCGGAACGAGAAGATGGAGACAGCACACCGGGATTTTCAGTTAAGCCCAGTTCGTTAAAGAATAAAAAGGAAGATCAATGTCAACGTGCTTCCCGCGAACCAAGTGTATTCAATATTACGTGTCTTGTGTATGGAAGGGAATAAGACCGCTCCAACTTAACCGTTCCCACCCCCATTCCCACAATATTTACCTAATTACTACTCCCAAAACTTTTATTAATTAATCAAATTACAATTTTTTAAATTCAAGAGATTGGGTGAGTCACAAACAAAATCGTAATTTACATGTTATAAAATTTGGCAATTGACTAAAGCGTAGGCCTCTGGGTCTCTCGTTCGCGTATGTGATTAAAATAAATAAAAGAATGTTTAATCCAACCAGCGTGTGGCTATTAGTATATAAATTTTTAAAAAAAATATATAAAATACATATTCAGACCATCTAACATCTATACCTGATTCACACAAACATATCACTATTATTATTTTAATGTGTCTATGCCTTTTTCTTCTACGTTAGAAGCCACGGAAAATACGCAACTTGGTAAGGTAAAAGATAAACAAAATTATCAAATCACAATCCATCACGAAGATATGACAACCCAGGCAATGTCATAATAATGGTGTTAATGGATCCGCATAAGCTGTTTTTTTTCCCTCGTTACATGAATTACCAATTTGCATCTTCACAACATTAGGGTCACAGCTCAGAAGTTCAACATTTTGCATATATAAACTTACATATCATGTTCCTCACTCCTCACACTGAACAGCGTTGCCCATGGCATAGTTATAAACTTCAGAACTTGGATTTCTGCCAATAGCCTCTGATAAACATAGAAACTACTCCAGGCAGTTTCGAATTTTTTGTTTGATTACAATACAAAAACCTGGATGCCCCACAGGATTTGAAATCGCTAGTCCCTTCAACAAAACAGAAGCCAAATTGGTTAAGATGGATCATCCACGGCTTCATTATTATTCGTGATAGAGTCGAAACAAGGGGCATGACGTGACTGTAATAATTATTCGTGAAAGTGAGAAAATAAAACACACAAGTAACTATATTCTACTGAAAAAAATGATAGCCGTTCTATTATAGTAACGAACGATAAGTATACACCTATGAACCAAGAAACCCAATTTTGCTGCAAGAAGATTAACACATAATGAATTTTAAACATCCCAGGGAACTGAGAAATTTTTCACAAATTGCCACTGAACGAATATTTATCTAAAGATTAAAATGCAAAAATTCTTCACTTATCTTTGTCTCTCTTTTTTTCCTTTTTGTTTACTTCTTTTCCCCTTCCCTTCACTACTTTAATAATGAAAACAAAAAAATCTGGGGGGAAACAAAAACAGAGTCAGCAGGAAACGAAGTTTGCACAGGTCAGGCAGATTAATTTTAAGACTTCTTCGGTCTCTTTGAACTCCCTTCTCTTTTATCTGCCTCTGCGGGCTTTTTCTTGTCTTTCCTTTCTCTCTTCTTTAGGGCAGTCATGTGGGCCTTCAGTATAGTTGCATAAGAGGCTTGAAAGCGCTGGTGATCCTTCGGTCCAACCTGTGCATTGAAAACCCAATTATATAAAATATTACAGATGGAAACAATTTATATGAACATGAAATTAAAGGGGAAGCAAATATAAGCAGAAAGGTCTAGGGGAACTCAAATAACATCCACTTCAACGAATTTCTACAAGCAACACTAACAAAAATTTATCATCTAGACATTGTCATCTTAAGTTATTAACCCAAGTCAACTTTTAGACACACGCACACACACAAACATGCATGGTTATCGAACTCGCGGGTTGACTCGTACACCCGTACGAGTCAGCGAGTCAAGCTATTGTTTACGAGTTAACTCACATATAAACTCGTTTTTTGTTTGACTCGGAGTGAACTCGGAATAAACTCGCTGACTCGGAATAGACTCGCGAGTTTGAGAGCGAGTCACCGAGTTCGTAGGGAGGACGAAACGACAAACAAAAATGTCGATACCATTTCGATTTTAAACCCAAACAAAAGCCCTAACCACCCAAATCGAAAACCTAAACGATTGAAACCCAAATCAAAAACCCTAGTCGAAGAAGAAGAGAAAATCGAAGATGAAAACCAGATCTGACCTCCCTCGTCCCTGCAGTGGTGTCACGCGTTGAGTTCTGGTCGTGTCGCCCTGCAGCTCAGCCCTCGCAGCTCTGCGTCATCGCGTCGCGTTTTCGCCCCCGCAGCTCAGCCCTCGCAGCTCCACGTCATTGCGTCATTACAAACCCCCATCATATCATGATATTAGAGAAAAACTTTTGAAACAAGCAGTGAAAAAAACTGATGTAATCCTTGAAGAATATAAGGAGGAGTGGAAAAGAATAGGTTGCACAATCATGTCTGATGGATGGACTGACAAAAAAAGACGTTCTATTTGTAACTTTCTAGTCAATAGTCCTAAAGGGACTGTGTTTCTTTACTCATTGGATACATCAAATATCTCAAAAACTGCAGATAAAGTGTTTAAGATGTTGGATGATGTAGTGGAATTTGTTGGAGAGGAGAATGTGGTTCAAGTGGTTACCGATAATGCTGCAAATTTCAAGGCAGCTGGAGAGTTATTGATGCAAAAACGAGAGCATTTGTATTGGACCCCATGTGCTGCCCATTGCATTGATTTGATTTTTGAAGATTTTGAAAAACATTTGAAGGTCCATCAAACTACTATCAAACTACTATCAAGAAGGGAAGAAGAATCACTACCTACATTTATGGTAGAGCAATGCTAATTAGCATGTTAAAGAAGTTTACCAAAGGTAGAGACTTGATAAGGCCAGGTATGACTAGATTTGCCACATCTTATCTAACTCTTGCATGTCTTCATGAATTGAAAGCATCATTGATGAGCTTCTTTAGCTCTGATGAGTGGAAATCAAGCAAATTTGGAACTTCAATGGAAGGGAGAAAAATTGAGCATGTGGTATTAGATAGTCGGTTCTGGAAGAATGTAACCATTTGTCTCAAAGTTGCTGCCCCTTTGATGGTGGTCCTTCGATTAGTGGATTCAGATATAAAACCCGCAATGGGTTTCATTTATGAAGAAATGGATTTTGCCAAAGAGAAGATCAAATTTAACTTTAATAATATTAAGAAAAGGTAAAACTTATAAACTTTCTCTTTTTCAGATTTTCATTCTTTATTTTGTGTAAGTATTTCTAACATTGCATGATTGCATCATTGTAGTTATGAACCTGTTTGGAACATAATTGATGAGAGGTGGAATAATCAACTTCATAGACCTTTGCATGTGGCTGCATATTACCTTAACCCTCACATGCACTATGAACCTAATTTTAGAAATGATGATGTGGAGGTAAAAGAAGGGTTGTATGAATGCATGAAAAGATTGGTCAAGGATGTTGCAGAAAGGAAAAAAATTAATTTACAACTTCTAGAGTTTCATTTTGCAAAAGGACTTTTCTCAATGGAAAATGCAAAAGATTGTAGGAAAGTTATGCTTCCTGGAGAATGGTGGGAAATGTTTGGAGATGGAACTCCAGAGTTGAAGTTCGAGTTTTGAACTTAACTTGTAGTTCTTCTGGGTGTGAGCGTAATTGGAGCTCATTTGAAATGGTAAGTCAAATTTGTTAAGTTATTATTTGGTGATAATGTTGGGATTGAGCCAGTTCAAGGTGAAGGTGATGAGGAAAATGTTGACATAGCTGAAATAAGTTCAATTGATCCTACTTTAGAACCAATTGATCTTGATAATATAGTGTTTGATGCCAATGTTGATGATGCACTCTTATCATCCGAGGAAGAGGTTGATGGTGATGGAGAAGATGACGATGAAGATGAAAAAGATGATGATGTTGGAGATGATATAATTAGAGGATTGGAGCTAGAAAGTTGAAGTTATTTATGTTTTGGTGATTTGTATTAACTTATCTATTTGGTGTAATTTGAACTTATATAACAATCATGTGTGTTGAACCAAGTTATTTTAGAATTATTGAACTATTGTTTTTTATTTTTATTAATTTTGATGATGAAATTCTGAATTTATATTATTATATAGAATTTTTCATATGAAGTAGACTCTTACGAGTCTACGAGTCGGGTTTACGAGTCGAGTCTACGAAGCTCTCGCGAGTCAACGTAGACTCTCGATTCTGATAACCTTGCAAACATGTATATATATATATACGGCATGTGGAAGATCAGCTAGGGCAGGAAGAAAGGGCAATTCTTTCAATAAAGGAATATGGAATAAGTGATTACGAGTGCATAACAAAATACTATCGTCCTCGTTTACAAATCGATCGCTATTTTCTCACAAATTACAATTTTTTCATAATTTCCATTACTTAATAAGTGAATCCTAAATTTTACAAGTAAAATTGGTTCCCTCACTTTTTGAACTTGGAATTGTGGCCTTCCCCATAATGATAAAGTTAAATACATTCTAATTAAATTGAATGACTTGTACTATTTTGTAGCACAAGTCATAGTTATCAGAATTTTTCGATTCAAGATTCAATATATTTTGACTATCTACCGATTTGTATCACAAGATGAATTAAATGACTGGATCTTACGATACATGAATGAATCTATGTAAATTTTATGACAATACAATTAAACGATTCATATGCTTTACTTCTACACCAATTCTTATTGAAAAAATAAATAAAGTCATGTGAACAATTTTTAAATGAAAAGGAATTTTAAAAAGCACTGGTGAACTTATTTCATTATTCCACCTTTATCTGTCACTCATTCAATTCATGTACTCTATTTAGCAATTAAATTGTTTTATTTTCTTTCTTTTAAAATAAAGACTTCACGAACTTAGACGTAACTAATATTTTTGTTTTAAATGACTGCTGCTTAAATTGTTTTACCTATTTCTAGTTTGAATTAAACACTACATATCATCTATATGACATTTGAAGCAATTTTTCATTGTACTTGAATCTTACAATTTGATACAAAACTACAATTCATGATTCAAAAAATAGCTCAACAATTCATCTTCGATAACAACGGCACAAACAACATAAATATTTAACACCAAGAAATCTAGCAGAAATTAGGATAACTCGTTTGACTACTGACCAAACTGCAAAGTTTTCCACACAAGCAAGTTGTACTACAATCAATTAAACAAGTTCCACAATAGATAAAACCCTCACTTAAAAAAAATAACATTTCCAACTGTGTTTTCCAATCTAAAGGTGAAAGAGAACAGCTAATCTTCAACAGAACTGATACAGGAAAGATGATAGGAGTAAGATCTTGACCTAAATCAGTATTTAAGCTAATACAAGCTTCATAAAACCATATAAATAAGTCTAGAATTGGTTTTTGAACCAGTGAACTATCAATATTGTTTAACAAGTCTTAGTGAATCTGTTTTGAATATTAGAAATAATATAAAAACAAAAAAGAAGCCCAAGCTTTTGTTTGAATGAAACATTATTCAAACTTGTCTAACAAATTTCAGTGAACATGCTTTGAATTTAGGAATAATATAAAACAAGAAAAGAGGATAAAAATAAGGAAACATCTATTTCTATACATTGATTACTTTAAGGCCAAAATTTTGTTTGGTTGAAACATTTGAGATCATTTTCACATTAAATGAAATAGAATAAGCACTGGAACTAAAAAAAATCCATAACCACCAATTTACCTAGCCATCCTGTTTATAAAGTTGGACAAACACACCTGTAGATTCGTAATATCAGACAAGGTAACTTATAAGACATAACTTTAGTGCCTTTGGTGTCAAGCATCACTCAAAAGTGGAGTTTCATCTGAACTTTAGCATTCATCCTTTATTGCATGGGTTACCAACATGAAACTCCAATTGTGATTGCGGAGCAACACAAAAAACACACCTAAAGTACAACATCTAGGCTTTGTCCTAACTTATAATGGTAATAAAATCACCAAAAGAAGATGAGGAAGAATATAAATTTCAAATGACTACACTCCAGTGGCATGTTTTTAGTTCTTTCTCTTTCACTTGTTCCCTAGGCTAAATCAGCATACTCTAATTAAAACTCTTAACCGTCTCAGATAGAATAGCAAAATAGCATGTCAGAATCAGACTAGGAACTTGATGCCTCGCTAAATAGAGAGAAAATAATCCCTGATCGATATGATTACAAGTAAAAAATGCATCAACCGCGAGTTATAATTAAAAGCATAATTGAAAAGGGAAGTTCATATATATATATATAGAGAAAGAGAGAGATTTAGATACATACCGAAGTAGAAATTGTCTTTTTCCCATCAGTGGCACGTATAAGGCATCTATACTCAATTGCTTCCCCAGCAGTCGCCAATTTATTCCTCTGCACCTTAGATTTCAAAGATGCTAAAAGAGGCACAGGAACAAGTCAGCTTGCAGACATATTAAACGCAAAAGTTTAACCCAACCTAACCAAGACGAGAACAATGAACACCCACATCGTTTAAGAGTAACCCAAACGGAGCCCTTTTCAGTGCTGCGCTCAAACATGCTAGTGAGCTCATTGAGAAACGGATCTAGCTGTAGAAGAACCTAATCAAATCGGAAAACAGCAGTAGCTGGAATAAGAATCATTTGGGAACATTCATTTCTCTAGCAATTAGCAACACTCCCCATTCCTCCACACCACTGCCTTAACTAACAAAAGAATAGTACTTATAAATCAAATCATAGATCACGATAACACAAGCTGAATCCAAGTCCAACCTTTATAAATCAAATCATATCGAAATAACATTACGGCTACACTAACCCAATTTGCGTAACAGGATGGTGAATTTTGGAGTTGATAATGATTAAAGGGTCGATTATTCTATACGACGATCTAATTTAAATATAAAATGCGAGAAAATAAAGGGAGTAATGGAATGGAAAAAAGAAGAAAAAATAGGGGAATGGGATCGAGAGAATTGATTACCATACCATGGTTGAGATAGAGAGGTTTTGAGCGCTGAAAACGCAGTCGTCGTCCTTTAGGTTGAGTTGAAGGGAAAAGGAAAAGGCACAGGAAGGACCGGACGTGAGTGAAACGAACTATGCTGGTTGACTACCAAACTGACTCAGGGCCCAAAGCCCAAATGATTTAATTCAAACTTTACTACACTACAATGTAATAAGGGCCCAAAGCCCAAATGATTTAATTCAAACTTTACTACACAACAATGTAAGAAGGGCCAACAAGTTTTATTTATTATAAAATAAATAGACCAATTCATCCATTTACCAGTTGTACTTAATGTTGGCTACGGAGATTTTGGAATTTACCCAACAAATTAACTTAAAAAAAATATAGATTTTGAATAAACAATTTTCAAAAACAATTTATATTATAAAATAATATTACCCAATTAATTTTGTTTGAATGATAAAATAAATTAATATTTTCTAAAAAAACTTTGATGAATATCACAAATAATTTTATTCACACTTCAAAAGTTGAAAAAAAAAAATCAAAACCAATGTTACTCGATGCACAATTATAGTATCTTGTTTAATATAGTTTTTAACATCTTTAATCATTAACTAATTTGTATGATTTTTATTACACTAAAAATGAGACCTATGTCAATCTTTTTTTTTTTATTTTAAATAAAAAGTGAGAATTTTACAATGTTTTTAATATTTGAATTTGAAGAAAAAAGGGGATGTGGGAGACATTATCAGAAACATTTCCAGCCACACAAGAAAATGTTGCTGCAAACTCGATTCCTCTCTTCGGTTCAACACACCCTCTTCGTCTTCTCTCCCGTTGGCACCAAACCTACCTTCAGAATCGCTGTGAGATCCCAAAAGCCCTCTTCTGAATCCTCCTCCTCCGATGATTCCGCTGCGAAGGGATTCGGCTCATCGGACACAGCTGCTACTGCAAACAGTAAAAAGAAACAGAAGCAGAAACAGAAAGGACAGAGAGAAAGGGCCTCCATAATTCGACGAGCTCCACTTGAAAAACCTGCTTTTGTTTCGGAGCAACAAGAGCGTAAGGCCAAGGATGAGAGCAAGAACGAAAGCGCTTTTCTTCTTGCAATGCTCGGTTTTGGCATCGTCGTTCTCGTTGAGGGCATTGGTCTTGCAGCATCCGGTACACCTCTCTCTTTATTTTGAAATGTTTTGTATTTTAAAAAAGGTTATTAGTCTATCATTTGCTATAATCTCTTGTGTTAACTCTTTATTACTAACCTTGGCTAGAGACTTTTTAGAAACAAACAACTGGGAGTGAGAGTGTTAGTATAGTTTCAAGCTATCAAATTGAATTCAGTGACCATTGCCAGCAGAAGTGTTGTGTCACTTAGTAACCACGTTTCATTAGGAAATTCCACTATTGAAATCAGTGCTGAATTCAATCCACATAGGAAACTCAACTCACCAATATTAACTTTGTTTCATAAACAAAATTAGGATAATGGTCCAACCAAGGAGGTGAGGGCTAGCCATAGATGAAGCCTTCAGGTTCACGAATTCTGACCAAACAAGTGACTTGGTAGGCTTTCGGATAAAATATCCTCTCAATCTCAAGACTTGAAATGGGAAACTGAGTGGTGGATCTAAACCCTCAACCCTCAATTGGATCTAAAACCCTCACGCTGCGGGAACACTGTCTACCAAGTTGTTTATTTGAAAACTCTCAATTATATATTTATCATAGAGCAACGGCCGGATTCAAATATAAAAGATTAGGAAGATCAAAATAAAAAGTTTTCAGATACTTATTAATAATTTTAACCAGAAAATTAAACAATGGGCAAATCTCATGGTAAAGTTCAGCATACAAAACCTAAGATCACCAATTAAGACAATGATTTTCTATCTGTATTAGAACGACCAAAAAAGCGTATGTGCTGCTTCTCATGTGGCCTTGTCGCAAATCCTGGCCAAATCCATTTCAAAACACTCAGGTCTTGGAAATCGAAATTGAGAACTTCTCATGCCCAAGGCTTCTGTCAGTTGATCAAGTGTGAAGCAGGATATGTAATTTAAATGCAATATGGAAAACCTCTTTCTATAACATGTTTATGAGCTACAATAGATATAGGGAACTTTCATTTTTGTGCAGTTGGTAATTTGTGTCTCCTTACATCTAAAATATGGTGACTGAATTTTTAGTCTCTTCTTGCAGGCTTCTTACCAGAACAGTGGGACCAGGTTTTTGTAAAGTATCTCTATCCATCGTTTACCCCCACAGTTTTTCTCTTTGTTGCTGGAGCAGTTGCATATGGAGTGTTTAAGTATTTGCAGAATGAGAAAATCACAGAGCAGAAATAATTTGACATGTATAATACAAAAAATCCAATGCTCTACTGGTAAAATTACAAGTGACAGCAACCGCAATCATATACCCTGGCTTTCCTATTTCCCTTTCCTGTTGTGATGAAAGATGACAATGTGAACTTCAGAAAAACCGTTTTAAGAACCATTTCTATTGGATCCCTAGTACCGACATGGCATCATAGGGCCAAGTAACAGATTTTTGAAATGGCTTCGTTCCTTGTAAGTAAATGTCCTTTCGGCTTTGAAACCTAGTGTTTTTTTCTTCTTGTGAAACTCTTCGCACTAAAAGATGTAACAGACCTACGCTCCTCTTCTTATTTGTTAGACCCAAGTTGAAAAAAATTATAATGTTAACATTTTTTAAGGGGGTTAACATTGCTGGATTTAATCATGCAAGTTAAGATTACCAAGAGAATATGATTTTATTTTCAATTTAAAATTTTAAGACAATATGTTTGTAATTATGTTATTAACATTTTAAGGTAATAAAACTTATTCATAGTTGAAATGTAGAAAAAAATGTTGTATCAGTAACAACAACAGCACCATGTAAAAACATGTCCATAGTATTTTAAAAGAGAAATGAAAGTGGATTGTTAGTTAGTATTAGTTGAAGATTCAGTAATAGACCATCCTTTGGAGCGGTCGGTATTAGAAGAAGTTTTAGATTCTGTCTATTTTAAGTGCCACACAAGTCATAATGTGTTTACTAATTTATTTTGGTTCAATCATAAAAGGTAAAAAAATTAATTTTGAATAAAATAAAATGCTATATATTTTCAAAATTTAAATTATATTAATGAAGTTAATTTTAATTTATATCTAATTATTTTATATTAATAATTAACATGATTTTAATATAATTATTTTTTATAAAACAGTTATCAACATGTCTAACCTTGTTTAAAACAAAAATAATTATGTAGGACAAATAATATAATTCAATTTAAATTATTAATTTATGATAATAGTCATAAATGAGTAATGAAATGCAATTTCAGAAATAAAAATTAACATTTGTTCGAAATTTGAAGTATGAACATGTAGATGTTGACATGGAATAAAGAGGACAAACGACATGTTGGTGGCACATCATTAGAGGATATATTAGTGTGGTCCTCTCATTCCTCTCTCACATTGTATCAATCTCTCCTTCCTCGTCACATCATTTTTATACTTACTACGTGGACATATTATTCACCTTTCTCACATCTCATACTATTTTTTAAATTTATTTCACATAATTTAATAATTTATTTGTAAATCAATAATCATCGTTCTACAATTTATCTTTTCAATGAATACTGCGTTCCAAAATAAGTTAAGTTTATGAAAAATTTCACCTATTTAAATAATGCTTGATTTAGCAAATTAAAAGTAAGTACCATGATTAATTTTGTCATGAACTTTACTTGAATTCAGGTAAGAATTTTATCTCTTCCAATATATTTAAGGGATAAAGTGATCCACAATGATGTAAAATAGCATAATATCTGATAGTAAGTAAGTATGACTTTATCAACGGTGAAAATTGAATAGTTTATTTCTTTTACTGATCATTCCAACTGTACTAAAATCATGTTTTTGTAATAAGGCGTTTAACCCAATTAAGTGAATTGGTAACATTTTACAACCTTATATTTAAAATTTTAGAGTCATAATATTTTTTTTTATTATGATCAACATGTTTTATTTTATATCCATATTCTTACTCTAACCTGTTTTCATCTCATAAAAATTGATTTTTCTTCTTCTTCCTTCTTACTCTTTTGTAACTAAGACCCTCAGCTACTTTTGGGAATGGTTATTTGTTTCTTCTAAGTTTTTAAATTCTATAATTTAATTACATAATAATACATTTTGCAAATATATGTGAATAAATTGAATTAACATGACCCTGTCTGAGATTGGATTAGATAGAATTTGAATATGGTTAAAAACAGTGAGTTGTAAAAAATAGCAAAAGAAAACAAAAACATTAATTTTGAGTTGCGTGTGTATCCATATCCATCCATAAAAATGAGAAAAGGAGAGATATGGTGTGCAATTTGAGGTGGAGCAGTTTCTCCTCAACTCACGCCAAAACATTAGCAGTAAAGTAACCTTCTCTTCATGTCTCTCTAACTTTAGGTGGGTCATACTTACTAATTACTACAACACACTTTTCACTGGTGCCACATTCTTTTAACCCTCCAACCCTAATATCTACCCTTTCATAATCATTAAATGTATAAAAACCTATATTTTTGTTCCCATTCACATATATTTTGTACTTTCCACAGTTTTTTTTTTAAATCATTCCAAATTTCTTGCATAATTAAATTTTGAGTCATTTAAGTGAAGTATGGATTATAGAGGTGGAGATTTCAAATATTTTAAATGATGACAAGGGTTTTTGTTGGATTTAGAAGATATGGTGATTGTAGTTATGTTGTAATAAATTGTAGGAGCTAAGGGGTGTTGTCCCCATTAATGAAAATAAATGTAGCCCATAATAATGTTAGCAGGAAGGAGCTTACCTTGGATGGAGTCATGACCGGACTGTGTTTTTGTTGTGTCTGGTACACCACTATATTTAATTACTTCTAAGTACTTAAAAAAAACAAATTCTTGTTATAGTAAACTTTATGTTTGTTTTTATCTGTGATATTTTTTTTAATATATAAATATATATATATATATAATAAATTTATTGAGTATATTATCTCTAATGGAACTATTATTTTAAGTTAACATATCATGCAAATTAAAAATTCTAATCAAATGATTAAATTTAACCATCTAATATTTTTTTAGTTGTCATGAGAATTGAACAAGATTAGATAGAGGGGATTAAGTAGGCGTGCACTAACGAATAATTGTAATAATAAACAAGCGAGAGTCACGTGACTGAAAATGTGGACTATTATTATATAATATAATAATATTTATGAAAAAGAATTAAGGTCAAATCAAAGACAAAAAAATCTGGCGCCGCTGGTACCACTTTCTCATATCTATATGACCATGCGTTAGAATATTTGAACAACATTAAGATTTAGATGAAGAAAATGAAACATGTCTATCAAATTAGTTTATGATTGTAATTTTCTTGTAAAAAATGAGATTAAGGACAGGAAAGAATAATAGGCAGAATAATTAATGGAGACAATAAACAAAGATACAATATTTTACTATTAATAAAAACAAAGTATTTTATAAGACAGTAAAATTGATTATTCAGCTTATTTTATCCTCTTTTACCTCTAACTCAAATAAAAATATGACCGACGAAATGATTAGTTGGTTATAATCGTATCTTAATTTGTACCATTAAATGGAAAGGGTTAGCACGATAATTTATTATATATATAAAATTTGTATAAATAATGGTTAAGTTCTTATTTATTAATTAATATATTGATTAAAAAAATATTATATTTATGTATGTTAAAATAATTAATTATATTTATAATTTAAGTAAGGATTCGGTTTAGATATAATAAGAATAAATTTGAAGTTTTATAGTTTAAATTAAAAAGAATTATAAATAGAAAAATTTAAATATTTAAACTTCATTTTTACAAAACTATTATCTCTCTACAATTTTTTTTCTCTACCTTCTTCCTAAATCTCTTACCCCATCTCTCACATTTTTCTACTTCTTTCTAAATCTCTTGCCCCATCTCTCATATTTTTCTAGATCCAATCGCATATGAGTCTTTCTAAAGGAGATGAGATCAATTCTTTCAATCAGAATTTTTAATTAAAGTAAGTTTTTCTTTTTTAATTTTAGACCATTTTGCATTTTTTAGGTTTAGGACTGCATATGAGTCATAGGAAGCTTGCATATAGACTTTGTTGTGAAAAGATGAATTTTAATTAATTTAGGAGCATTATGATATGTTCAATTTGTTAATTTGAATTTTTTGTAAAAAGGATCTATCCTCTAAAAAGTTAGACGTTTTTTGGGTTCTTTAACTTGGAGACACTATATTGAGATAAGGAAAGTTAGTTATTTTTCAATTTTCATAGTACTTTAAGCTAGAAGATCTGGATTGTAAAGTTGACTTAGTCACATTGTTTTAAGTTTCAAGAATTTAGATTGTGTGATTATATATGTGTTGATTGATGATAACTGTATTGAATGTGAATATATAAGTGATTTATATGAGATTGAAAAAGATAGTTTTTTATATGAATGTATTACTCTTAGATTGAAATTAGTGAATAGTAGATTATGCAGTCTACTACTATCACGAATCGAACTAGCAGATTTAAATTTGCTTGATAAATTTTAGACAATGTTGAAAGCGCTTGAAGTTCGGTCAGCGCTTTCAACTTTGCCTAGTGAATTTTCTATAGCGTTGAAGGTTTCATTCTGTCAAAATTTCGTTCAGCGCTTTCAATTTCACTCAATGTTTTTAGATTTGCTCAATAGTTTTTGAAAAATTATAAAAAAATAACTCTAAATTCCAAAGTTAAATTAGAAAAAAAAATTGTTATAATATGAGAAATTATGTGTTTTTGCTTTAAACTATTAAAATTCATGTTATGAACATGAAATGAGATGTGTTGAATGTTATTATGTACTTTGAAAAATGTTATGTTATGATATGAGAATTACTAAAGATATTTTCATGTGTGTAGTGTTGTAGGAATAAATATTGATTTGAAACTCAAGCAGATATCCTAACTCTACTTACCACTGAAATCATATAGATGAAAGAATCAGGTGATCAGAGTTGAATGAAAATTATAATAACTTAGCTTGCGATGTGAGAATGAACTGTGTCTTGATAAGTTATTTAGAAACTTACCCTGATCACGCGTGAATATATATACCGAATTGAGCACCCTTGTGTTATGCACTCGGGGGAGTTGTAATGTGACTGGTACAGATCTTTGATGTCTATTTCAATATCTAATATTTTGAAAGTCATTTAGTGTCTGTGTGATGTGAATGTGAGTCTATATGGATATATGATATGATATATGAAAACTTGAAGTTAAAT